GTTACATAATTATTTCCTTTTATTATTTTATTCCAACGACTTTTACATGTTTAGGTTCATTAGACATAAGCTCTAGTCCAAGTCTTGGAAGCATCTTAATACCATTCCTTTGTATCATCCTAAGTTGGCATGTGCTCTAGAATCCGTCTTTTGCGTATGTTGCAAGGACAGAAAAAGAGAGCCTCGTTTGTATTTCTTTTTTCTTTTGTTAAAGTCAATACTTTCCACTTCTGCTCTTCCTTTACAAGATTGTTTTTTAGGAATCTTTTAACAGTAGGAGAATTAGAGTTCTCATAGGTGGTTCACTTGCACGTATTGTGATGGTGTCCTAATATTTACTTTTTGTTAGAGAAATGTCCTTTTTTCTAGTGTCTTTTTCATATTGATATTCATTGCTACTTAATACATACACGAGTGAACATTTTTTTTCTAAATTTCTTTTTGCTTATTTTGTAGGTATAGAGGCTCGCGGTTTCATATTCGGTTCACCCATCGCATTAGCCATTGGAGCAAAATTTGTTCCCCTTCGTAAACCAAAGAAATTGCCGGGTTAAACACCATTCCAAACTTTTATATTTTTAACATATATTTTATTATTCTTATATGTCAAGCAATATTTTGAGTAATATTACATGATGTGGTTTCGGATCTGGGGGATTACGGGATTTGACCCAGAACCTTCTTAGAAAAAAATAAAAATAGTGTTACCTAGCGTTTATCAAATAAAGTATGGGGTTTTGGTTTTGTTATAAAAAAATATGGGGTTTAACTATACGATTTATAATCAGGCCAAATAATATTTGAAGAATATGAATTGGAGTACGGAAGCGACCGGTTGGAAATGCACGTTGAAGCTGTAGATTCCGGTGATAGAGCATTGGTCGTAGATGATCTGATTGCTACCGGCGGGACTCTCTGTGCTGCCATGGATTTGCTCAGTAAATATTTCTCATTTTTCAACAATATATCTTTAGCAGCTAAATTATTGTTTTTCATTCTAATTGCTGCACATTGGTTCAAATCATTTGCCACTTCTATAAATCTTAGAAAAAAATCTACCCCATGGTAGGTAATGCTTAATTTGTAACTTTTTATAAGTTAGATATATATTTTGTTAGAAAACTAAAGATATATCCTAATGTACCACAAATTTTTTTATTTTCGAAGATAGTTTCAAAAGTGTCACAATTTATGTGTACACATTTAGTAAGGTTTGTTACATCATTTAGTATTTCTTGATAAGAGTTTCAGAATCTTTTTGAAACTTATAGATTATGGTATTTTTGGATTTTGATGGTAATTTTAACGAAGAAAACATAACAAAGAAAATTTTAAGAATTTTCCTATAAAAGTCTTTATTTTTTATTTTCTCAGCCAATATGGCTAAAGTGGGTATACAGTCGATAGAAGGTGATAAGCTAACGGCGGATCATCCCATTTGAGGAACAAAACTTATATGTTGGGGGAAATAAAAATAGAAAGTGAAACTATTACAATATTTCCTAGAGCGAATAAGAGTAACAAGGGATCCAACGCATAGAAAAACCTAATTGGAATTGAAATGATTGAAGTTGCCAAAGGTCTACTCATAGACCTAATCGACTCAATAAACTTTAAACATTTTCACTAATCTTAATGAATATTTGTTTACTGTGTTAGAGCGAGTTGGAGCAGAAGTCGTTGAATGTGCATGTGTTATCGAGTTACCCGAATTAAAGGTAAGTTACCGTTCATGGAAATTTTGTTTTCCGGTTACATTTATAATAATATACATAGTAATATATTAAGGACTTGGAGGTCTATTTATTTGTCTCTGTTTTTGTTTTTGTTTTTGTTTTCCAAAGTGTAATTTTCACGGTGAATTAAAATTTTCAGGGAAGGGAGAGATTAGAGGGAAAGCCATTGTATGTGCTCGTAGAGTATCGATGATATTATTATTTCGTAAATTGGCGACAAAGCAAAAACCTTCAGCATAATGTGGCGGGTTTAGATTTGGATCAATTGGTCAGTTAATTTATGTTCTCATATTCATGGGATTGAATTTGGGATTTGCAAAATTTCGTGTTCCATCTATGTATGAGAATCTCCCATGGGAATTGAATGGGTTTGGTTCGTAACTAAATAAAATTAATTAATTGTTTTCCTTTACAATGATTATTAAACAAAAAATGTTTCACAAACACAATAGGCTTCCGTAGTTAGCATTTTGTTTTCAGACAACATTCTTATCGACCAACAAATGTTTTATGGACTCAGATAAACAAGTTCTGTTAAAAATATATATGATGATAAAAACGGATATGAGTGAAGCTCATGATAAAGTATACTTGCTTTTCATCAGGGTATTACTAAGACAATTAGATTTCATAAATGATGTGGAGTATTGTATATGATTTTGATAAGAGAACTACTTTTTTTTCTGTAAAACAGAAGTACTTCAATGTGGAAAGATTTTCAATATAATCAAACTTTTTGGAAAGATATTTTGATCACGAATCCATTTTTCAAAATCATCAAGGTCACACGGAAAAAGAACTGAAACAAACATTAGAGATATTAATCCTCGTCGTATGGATTGAGGAGTGCAATGTCCGCTAAGCCATTGTTGGAATAAGTATCCAACTATAAGACTTGGATCATGGTGTAATACTTTAGTGTGGAAGGATTCTTGGATATATATCACATATACATAGCCGAGACCAGCATGTGGAACAGGCCAATTTTTTCATCCTTCTCTCATGGTTAATTAACTTATACATTCAATAATCAAGAAATAGAATATCAATATGTTAAACGAATTTGTAGAGTTGACAAATATACATCTTATTCGAGGGTTGACCATTATTAGCAAAGATTACAAAGAAGATACCTGTGTTAGCATTTTAAGAAATCCTAAAGATATACAATTTAATCAGAATATTGAATTTCTCAGAATCGACTTAAACTAAGATTGGTCAAACTCAAACACCAAACATTTGTCCGTTACAACAAGCTCATGCTTGTAGTTAAAAAGACCAGCAAAATACATTTATACTAATCTGAAAATTATATAGTTTAATCAGAATATTGAATTTCGCATACTATAATTTTTTTTGTTGGTTAATTCGCTTACTAGAATTCGATCGACTTATACTAATATCGGTCAATTACCAAATGTTTTCCGTTACAAATTCATGCTTTTTATATATAAATAAAAAAGAAAAACAAAGCATTTTATATGGAAAACGACATACAAACAATCATTTAAATTTGTTGTTTTTCTTTTCTTTTTTCTTAACACTCAATTAGCTTGTTTTTCGGTTTCATTTTTGCTTCTTTTTTTTTGTTGCTTATGTCGTACATGTTCACACTTTTAATTCCAAAAATGAATGATTATAATTAGAGAGTTAGAGGATCATGCTTGGACACATATAAGAAGTTGAATGGTTTCCAAAAAAAAAAACGAAACTTGAAATATAAGTCAACAATAAAACTTAACAAATGTTAATTACTTGTGTTTTACTTCTGTCTCTCATTCATATCTGTTTGATTGTCCCTCTCATCTAATAGTTTGATGAAAAGCACCTACTAACAAATATTTAAGTCATAATTTAAAGAACTATCATTAGTATTTCCACTTGGTATTGTAATTATACATCATGATAATGTAAGTTAATTAGTCTTCCACCAAATCTTCATTTTATGATTATCTTTTTTCTGATCACTCTTTTTAAGTCAACCTAAATCAGCCTCACGAAGACACCAACAACTAAGTAAAGTTAATTTATATAACTAACTTCTGTTAGAAATGTTGAGTTGCATTGTATGGTACTCAAATCTACGTTTATATGACTCAGAACGATGGTGACTGATTAGACAAAACGAATAAAACAAATAAAAAGTACGATTAAATGATGGTTTTGTTTTTCAAGTATTGTTTAGTGGTTAGTTGTTACGAAGTTTAAAATGATATTTTCTCAAATAGAAATGTTCAGCTCTTTCATATTTTTCTTTAATTTTATTTACTAAAGAAAATGATAATTTTATTGGCCTGGTTTGAGAACACATCCGCTTCGATCACAATTGCTGGCCATTCATGTTTCGAAATAAAAAGTGAAAATTATTACAAATATTGACATATCTACTCCAATTCGAGATTTTTTTTTTATGTTTTGTTTTTGGCCTTGTTGCTCTCTCACTCTTCCACCAAAACAAGAAAAACCTTTATAGTATTCACTTATGGTGTAAGAAGAGATAGATGGTATGTAACACAAATTTCTAATTAGAAATGCGCCAAATCCAACGCTTGTTACTTATTTTTATTGATAATTGATTTTTTACAAGGATCATAATTATCTCGGACTTACTTAAACTATTCTACCCAAATAGCCAACTCCGACTAAAAACAAATCTAAACCTAACTCTCTCCTCATTTTCTTATCACATAACTGTGAAGACAAAGAAAGTTCAAAATACACTCACCTTCTAAGCTCTTTAGTTAGCTTCGAAGTTTACAACCGTATAAATATTCAAGAGTACTAATCTAGGCTCGTAGCCAACTCTAGAATATTTATACTAACCCGGAAACCTTAATCCTAGAACATCTAGAATAAACCCTAGAGATACTCTTGTAATAAATATATATTGACCTGTAATTTGCATGTGAGTTGTCTCTTTAGCAGTCAACGAATTATAGACCACTTGGTGATTGGTGAATATATGAAGCTCATTTATAAGTGTAAAATAATAACTATTCGAAATTTTACGAATCTGCCTTAATACATGGGCATTTAAACAAAACATCCCTTACTTAATCAAAACATCACTAATGAAGTAGTAATGAATATTTTTATTTTATTTGCTATGTATCAATGATTTTTAATCATTATCGAATCCTGCCAAAGTGTCTGAACCTTAAACATGAGAATATAGATTGGACCCTAAAATATTAAACCAAAATTTAAATATAAATCTGAAATATAAAGAAGATAAAACAAACCAAAAATGGAACCAAAATATATAAATCAAAATTAATTTTATTGGTTTATAATAATAATAATTTTTTACAATCTGAAAAAGATTAAGAAACAAGGCAACACGGCGCGTGCATCGAAGACAATCAACTCACCAGCTCGACCCGCTACTGAATCCGACCCGAATTCACCTTTCTTCGCAACCCGACCCGCAATTACTCTACAAATCAACATCGCCCTCCTCCCTCCTCCGCCGCCTGTGCTCGCATGCGCTTCACCGCTACCCGAAAACGTACAAACCGCCGCTCCTTTACCACCAGGAAAACCCCACGCGCCGCCGTTAATTCCTCCCGGAATCGGACCCAAAGGAAAAAACCTCATCATCTCATTCCCATCAGCCAAACACCGCGCGTCTTCATCACACGCGCCGCCGTTAACCTCATCGGAATCAAATTTCGTACGCCATCGCGATTTCACATCTTCTCTATATTCCTCAAACCGGGTCACAGCTTTTGACCCGTTTTCAACTTTAAAGATCATTTCAACCCGACCCGGAAACTCATCGGAGCTCCAACTAGATTGAAATATTATCTCCACGACGTTTCTCGACGGATGACCGTCGGGAAGATCAGTCAATACGGGCAATGCTGATTCAGAGGAAGCTCGAGCTGATACACTTCTTCGGGTCGGGTTATGTGAATTGGAGTCTGATTCGGGTCGACGAGAAGAGCGTAAACGTCGTAAATTCGGGTCGGGTTTTGGGCTTTTCTTAACGGTTCCGGGTCGGTTATCGACGACGTCTCTAACGTTTTTTCTGCAGCTGTAACTTGGCAATAAGAGTTTACCGTTGTTGGAGTGATGATGATGATAGACATCGTCGAATGCTCTTGATTTGCAATGTAAGGATTTGACCCACCCGATTGGCATATTCAGGGTACCGGAATCGGATCCGGGTTTTGTCTTTCTCTTTGCGTCTTTAGAAATTTAAAGTTTGTGTTAGAGATTTGTGGGGGCTTTGAAGTTTTTGGTGTATGTATGGAATGTTGTAGTACGTATGAAGTATGAACATTGTCGGACGTTTTATCGGTTGGTGTTTCTTTATATTAAATGACGATATTACCCCTTATTTTCAGCTTCTTGTCTTTTTTTTTTTGTAACATTAAAAAAGCAAAACAGAACAAACTAATTAATTATGTATCATAACCACGTACAATGCTTTGTTTATCCATTTCAACAATGCTTTTACGTTGTTAATCATGATTGAATTAACACATGTCTCACTTTAGTCTTAACATTAAAACCAAAATAAAATAAAACATATCTCGCTTTAGCTATCTTCTTACTTGAAATGTGAAATTTATAACATATGCATGTCACTATGATATATGAAGAATTGCATGACGATTTGATGGCAAATATTTTTATATTTTACAGTTCTTAACAATCACATAGTTTTACAAAATCGTGATTTTTGATGTATCTCTGTTTTTAATGACAACATAATTACCATATGTTCACCGGTGCAGTTCAATTTGTTTTGCTTAATTCTTCTGTAATTTTTTTCTAACGTTCAATTTTTTTTTGAAAAATTTGTTTATTTATAACAGTAAGTTGTAATGGATAAACAATGTTAATTTTTTTCTTCCAATTTTATCGGATGTCCTCTAGCTAAAATACAATTCCGTAATTTTATTTCGCATTTTTTTCTAATTATGCACCTAACGCATGCAGTAGCTAGTATTACGAATTAGAAACATTCGTACTCATATGTGTTTGTTTGTGAATAAGAATTTGAATTCGATCAAAATGATACGTATTCATTATTAATGAATTTAAAGTTGTTGGAGAAGGAAATTACAAACGAGACAAATGTACTCCCTCTGTTCCTTAAAGATTGATGTTTTAGAATTTTCACATATATTAAGAAACAATCATTGTCTAATTATTTGTTAATTACTTTTTTATATCAAACATTTTTTAATAAGTTTGAACCAATAGTAATATAGAATAGTTAATCATTGCGCCTTGAAGTTTACGATTTATTAATATCAATTAATAAAAAATAAAACAAAAATCTAGAAAATCAATCTTTTTGGAACAAATTAAAAAGCTATAACATCAATCTTTTAGGAACAGAGGGAGTAATAATTATTAGCAGTTGGTGAAGATTAAAAAAATTTCATTTAATGGAGAAAATGGCTATGGCCTATGGGAATGTGTTTGCTGTTCTTAAACATGTTGAGAGCTGAAATGAGTAAAGTCTATTGTCGGGTGATGAATTTATTGACATATTCGTAGTAGTATATTATTACAATAAATGGGAAGTTTCAATTCGCTTGATTCAGAGAATTTATACGTTATAAAATTTTGAAAAGATTGATACTGTACGATGTATAGTTGTATTTTAATTGGTTCATTATATTAATTAGTTTCAGATATAATTTTTTAGGAAATTTAAATTTTTTGATAAGTTCGTACTATAATGAACTCTCGGAAACATCAACGCGTGCAATTTACGTATACGAGTATTAAATATTACACAACCAATGAACGAAATAACCTCTTTAATTTAGGGGTAAGAAAATCATGAGAGCAAACCTATGAATAGTGTTGAATTTTCATTATTTTCGATCTAAATCAGTGTTATAAAAAATGGTACATGTGGTACGCAGATGGTGATTTAGCACCTAAACACTATATATTAAACATTTACTCTCAAAATCTGAATCATTATTCTGACATCTAAAACCCCAACCATTACCTAAACCTCGTCGAAGCTCATCACCACCATATCATAATATACCTCGTTTCTCTTGTTGTACATGCGAAAATTTTCGCTTAGAAACTAATTTGTAAGAAATATATATATATAATATATACAAGGTGTTTTCGTAATTGTTTGGTAAGAAAAAAAATATTTTCTTATAACCCTCGCTCAAACTAAACTGTTAATGCAAATTAAGTTTTCTAAAGGTGTTGTTTTTCCTATAAGTTATATTATTCATTTACCTATAATCATACTCTAAAATTTATAAAAAGAAACAAAACTTGTTCATTATTTTTAAAAATATGGTACAAAAACTTAGCATACGCATAAATTAGGAAATAGCTTTATTCGTATGAGGTTGGAACTTCGGATTCAGCTAGCAAAACGAATAAGAATTTATTTTTTGAATTATTACGTAAACAGTATACTAATTGCATACGATTTGTTGGAACAAACTTTAAATTTTAAGATGAAAAATATATAGAAATATGAAAAGGAAACGACAGGTAATGCGTCGCTATTAAAAATGGTTTATGCTTTAATAAGACAAAAAAGTGTCACATTTCAAGCTGCAATAACATGAAGCGACAACTTTAAGATTTGTACATTCCAGCACATCTGATTTAATTTTTATTTCTCTGGCTAATGATTTCACTAATAAAAAGGTTAGATACGTGTATAACAATATTTTATAAGTAAATGAATAATACAGTATAACTTATATAATTGTGGAAGTTAAGTCAATAGCATAAAAGAACCTTCACAATTATTATTTTGGGTTTTAGGTAAAAAACATGATGGTAGTGATGTGGTGGTGATCGTTGCGATTGCAGCGACGGTAATACTGATGGTATGGCGGTGATGGACCTGGCGTTGGTGGTAGTAGTAGTAGTGATAACGATAGTGATGGTGAATGGCCTAATACAAAAGAAAAAAAATGGTATTTCGATATATATTGTAGTTTATATAAAAAAATACTACCCTTCAATTTTTTTGGGCTATTTAGTTAATTATAATTTTTTCCTGGGAATATTTGCAAATTTGTCTAAATAAAATCGGAAGAGTTATACAAAGCAAGGAAAAATCGATATCATTTCGGTATTAAACAGTCTGACTGATAGTTTTACCAAAATTTATATTGAGATATGACTGAAAGTACTCCTTGGCGTTCGTATATTTGGATCGGTTCCATTTTGGTTCTATTCGGTTTTGGTTCTTTCGGTATTAGACTTTATGATTCATTCGGGTATTTTTAATATTTCGCGGTTCGGTTTCAGTTTGGCTCCGGTTCTTTCGGTTTTAAAGTTTAGTATCCATTCGAGTATTTTGTTTTGGATCTTTTGGTTATTTTCGAGTATTTTGTTTTGGATATTTTGGTTATTTTCGAGTATTTTCATATATATATTTTGGATATTTTCGATTATTTTTGGGTATTTTTGGTTTTTTATATATTTTTTGAGTATTATTTGATTATTCAGTTTAAGAATAACTAATATCTTTGGATATTTAATTGTACTAGGTCGAAACCCGCGCTCCGCTGCGGGATATTTTTAAATGATTTTTTTTTAATATTGAAAAAATTTAAATTGGAGAAATGATTTTAATTAAATATTTAATATTTAAATAAATTGAAGGCAAAAATAGAACCAAATCAAATTTGAATGTTAAATTGAGACCAAACCATAAATCAATTTTAGTATTCAGATAAAATTTGTATCCTGAAAAAGTCAGAAAACGATCATTTTTTTCTGGAAAAACAGATGAACAAAGGAGAGAGATAGATTAGATAAACAGTTAAACGGAGAGGAAAAAAAAAGAAGACCTTTGCTTTCATATCTGAAAGACTTTCACTAATGGCAGCCAATAAGAGACGATTGTTTCACTGTATGTCTAAAAGAGTTTCTATCGCCGGAGTGCGGGGGAGCTATGGCGGTGTTCCGCAATCGAACCCTAAATCTCCTAAGTCTTTTTCTCAGCGATTGATGTAATTGGAATCTGAATTCAGTGCCCACAAGTAAATATCTTTCTTTCCTCTTATTTTTTTCTCAAGTTTCCGTTTTTGTTTTCTCCGATTTGAATATATCGTCGATGAAATCATTGAGCTTTTATTTTTTGACAAAAGTTATGATATTTGATTCGATCGGACTTATATGTATATGGACATGCCATAGTTGTATAGAACTCATGACTTAGATACTTGAAAATATGTTATATGGAATGATCATCTTTGATTTTAATGTTCCATATGCATACTTGATTTATATGTTGAAGAGGCGTAAAAGGCTAAGAGATTTGTTTGTTTGTTTGTTATAGGAGTATAGAACGTTACTCAAATGATTTTTAGTTATTCATTAAGATCTATGATAACGCTTAATAAATCTTATAATATTTTATTGCAATAGTTCTTAACTAATTCGACTTGTATCCAATTTTATCCAAAGGGTAAACATTACAAGTAAGGGCTTGACTGGTTTAAACGTAGCGGTTGCGGTTGCGGTTGTGGGAGTTTGCGGAAACGGGCGGTTGCGGTTTCAAGCATTATTTTAGCATTTTGACCGACTGGTTTAGCGGTTAAAAACGAATACGTTTGCGGGAGATTTACGACTGGTTGATCAGCGGGTACAATAGCGGTTAAACCAAAATTTACCAAAATTATTTTAGTATATGATTATAAAAAGTATAAAAACACCAAAAACTATAATTATGAAAAAATATAAAATTTTTAAACATGATTAATGATTAAAAACCATAAATAATTATTCAAATAAATTTTATATTGAAAACAAAAACAATTATTAATATTGGAAAATTAAAGTTAGATAATTTTATTTTTTTAGAATTAACGTGAATATATATATAAGACTTGATAAATATATTTAAATTTGTTCATTTTTCTTTTTCAGTTTCTTTCCTTTTTTAAACCAACCGCAACCGTCCGCAACCGCAAACCCTTGCGGAAAGGAGCTTTTAAAATCCAGCGATTTCGAACGGTTCGAAGCGGTATGGAACAGTTTCTATGATTGGTACCAACCGCTAACAACCGCAACCAACCGCTAACAACCGCTAGGCGGGAGAACCAATCAAGCCCTAAATTGAAGTCCAACAATCCTATTTTAAAACATTAAGCCCATATGTGAGAGCCCAAGAACAAATGAGACAATATTAAGAAAAGCAGAAGGGATGATTATTGGCCAAAAAATCTGATGTGTATTAATCCAAATGTTTTCATTGGATGATGATTTTAATGATGTGTCATGTCCAGAACACTCCAAAAAGCTGAGGTGTCAGCACTGGAGAGAAACCTAGTGTTTTTATTGTATTGATTGCAGGTATTTTCGGATATCTGAAGTATTTAGGTTCGGTTCCGGTTCTTTTGGTTCTAGAATTTAGGATCCATTCAAATATTTTCAATTATTGGTTCGGTTTTTTTAGCCTTGATCCAGTTGGATACTTTCGATTCGGTTAATTTGCCCACACCTAACTGGAAGTGACAAAATAATTTTTATTAGTGTTTTTTTTTGTTGTTGTATAATTTAGTTTAGATCTCAAAACTGGTACATTATGTTTGTGTATATAATGATTTAGATAAATAAATATAGTTATTTTTGTTATTAAATATGTGTCTTCAGCTCACATTTTCTTCTATTCATCCAAGTCAATATTTCACACGACTTGACATTTAAGGACAAAATGGAGGTCATCTTCAAATAATATCGCATACGACTTGACATCTAAGGACAACCACAATTGTGTGATCTCTTAATCACTATTTAAGGGTCCTCCTACCTATTAAGTAAGCATGGTCATAAACATGCCTCTTGCCTTAATGGCTCATAAGAATTTAAGTTGTGGATGTCATGGTTTTAAAACCAAACGAAGCTCCATGAGACCTCGAAAACTAGTGGATTAACAACGCATTAGTTGATTTCTAAATTAAGCTAAAAACTGATCCAATCATGCAATTCACAACTAAGTCATCATAACATTTCACTCGATTTGTGGGATTGCATATATAACTTTTAAAAGTGGAAAATAGTTTGAAGATCCAATATGTAAAATAAAGAGTTCGTAATTTCAAGATATACATAAATATCCATTGAATTGTATATGGTAAAGAAGAAATTGATGGTTTGTACTTGCTATGGGAGAGTAGTCATATAATCGAGAATTGTTTCACTAAACATTTTCTAAATTTGATAGTAAAAATAAAACCTCATTAGTTATAAATGTATACAACATATAGAAAGTAATAAAATAATGGAATATTTAAATGTTTTTTTCAATTATGTCAATTCTGATCTTACCCGGAATTTATTTGACATAATTCGAAAAGATTTTGCATTCATGAATTTTTTTATTTTTTTTGTTCACTCCGCAAAGTAAATTATAGCCTGGAATACAACATATTTGTATTTTAAGAAATTACAAAATTAGTCAAATTTATCAATAAATTAATACTTTTATAAATTAATAAAATTTTACGGTTTTAACATTCTTAATTTATAGAAGTTTTACTGTACTAATAATAATATATAGCATCATCATCAAATTAATGAATTAAAATATGTGAGTTATAGGCCATAAAAACAAATTAATTTAGTAACTTTTATAGTCTATAAAAAATTAAAAAATTCCTAAATCTTTATAATTTTGGAATTTATGAATATATGATTCAAGTATTTTTATTTTATAATATTTTTAGTTATTATCCTGATAAAAAATAATATAATTATTCGAAACGTGTCATATATATGCCAAACTGTTTCTATGGGACTGGTGCGGGATATGATGTATTGAGTTTCAGTTTTAGATCTTTGGTTCTTTGTGGTTCTTGCTTTTGTACCTTTTCTCTAGTTGGCTTCCCTTAATCCCTTGTTTGGGCTTTGTTTTCCGGGGATATTTTTGTCATCCGTCGGCTTAGTTTTCCGGGGATATTTTTGTTATCCGCCGGCTTAGTTTTCCGGGGATATTTATGTTTTCCGCCGGCTTAGTATTCCACCTTGTATTTCTCTTACGGTTAATCTTATGGAAATAATTCAGACAAAAAAAAAAAAAATTTTTACCAAGCACACCATTTTTGATCACCTTCGCATCTTTATCATCATCTCTCTGATAATAATAATTTTTTTTCAGCATATACATTCATATATTCGCATAAAAATCTTTAAATATATATATATTTTTTAATTTTAAGTTTTACGCAAATCTCTTTCTCTCTGCATCTCCAGATTTTGGAATCATCATCATCAATGTGATGATCAAAGCATCTTCATCGTTGTATCGCTTCTTTAGTACTTCTCGACGAGGTTTCGTGAGATTTCTCCAAAATCAGCGATGCCTTTAACGAGGTCAAAGAGTCTGCCGGCGACGGAGAACGGTGGATCCGATTCGGGAAGATCAGTGGCTGGGATTCTCTATAAATGGACTAATTATGGAAAAGGATGGAGATCTAGATGGTTCCTCCTCCGCGATGGAATCTTATCGTATTCCAAAATCCGAAGACCGGAGAATGTGAATCTGTTATCTCCTTCCGATGATGTGAGGTTAATCGGAGATATTTCCACTGATCGTTTCTCGAGAATGAAGAGTTGTAGTGGCCGTAGTCGTCGGAAACATCACAAAACCATCGGCATTGTTCATCTCAAGGTATATATAGATATTGAGATTGATTTATGAAATTGCAATAGTTAGAGTTTTGTTCTTAGCCTGAGAGATTATCTATTTTCATGATTTATATGAATAGCTTCTTTACAATCACAATTACAGCAGATAATTTGGCACGAAAAGTTCGTACTCAACCGTTGGCTTATATGAGTTAATCTAATATTTTTGTTGACAAATACAATTAGAGCAAAGAACTAGTTGGTGTGAAACAGAGTAAAATCCTAAATGTGATTTTTTCTGACTGAGGAAAGTACTATTATTAGCATCATCTTCTTCTTCTTCTCCATTGCTTGTACTTGTGTAGTTTGTCTTTATGCATTTCAATTCTTGTTTGTATTATTATCTTCTGTATTATAGTTAAGAGAACCTCTCTGGTTTCTGAAAAGTTTTTGACTAGCTGCTTATCTGTAGTGGGCCACAACAACATGTATTGCAGTAGTAGGGGTCTCAAAGTTCATTGCAGAAAAAACAAATAGCCAAAATACAAACAAAATTTTGGCTGGTGCTACTACAATCTAGTATTGCAGGACCAGACCAGGGTCTCAATTTTGTTGAACACATTACAGTCACTAACACAATTTACATCTGTCAACTTTGGTCACATGTTAAAACTCTTTATCTTTTGATTTTTTTGTTTGTTCCTTGATTTTCTTTCCACGCATGGGCCAGTTCCATGGATCATTGACCAGTAGGTTTAGTTATACTTTTTACTGTGGAGTTTCAACATGATTGGTGAATGGTAGGTGTAGCTAGTCGGTAGGAAATAATCAAGTGTGGATAAATAATGGAGTGTGGCTGTGTGGGAGCTGAAGGCCACCTCGTGGGGAAATTCTAGCCATATATGTTTTGTTGTTAACTTGTAAGAGTTATATTTGCTTAATCTAAATACTCCAAAGCTTATCCAGACATAAGCTTTGAGTCTGTTTTTTTTTTTTTTTCTCTGGGTAATTGCATTCTCTTTGTGTTTGCTTTTTAATTTGTTCGTTTGAACATGGAACTTGTGATTATTGATTGTTCACAGTTCGTTTTTGAACATGAGAGCCTCTAATTTGATCTCAACTTATTTACTTTTTTATAGTTGGAAACAATTTTAGTCGTTTTGAGGGCTTAAGCCTGATATTAGATGAATGTCATTCCATTCTTTTGTTTTCCAGCAGGTTTCATCTTACAGAGAAAGCAAATCTGATCATAGAAAGTTTTATATCTTTACTGCAACCAAGACTCTGCATCTGAGGACTGATTCTAGAAGTGATAGAGCAGCATGGTTACAAGCTTTAGCATCTACTAGAGGCATAGTTCCTCTCCAGTCAATCAGTGGGGAGTTCTCCTTCGTATCACCAAAGGATTTATTCATATCTACAGAGAGACTAAAGAAACGGTTGCTTGAAGAGGGAATGAACGAGAGTCTTGTAACAGAGTGTGAACAGATCGTGGATTCAGAGTTCTCTGAAGCTCAAGAACAGATTAAACTTCTCCATGAAGAACGGACAAAGTTGCTTGATGCATTAAGGCAGCTAGAGGTAAAGTTGAACTCGCTTTTCTTTTCTGATTGTTTTTGTTTTAGTGTGGTCTTGCCCATTGTTTCCTTTCATATAATGACTTAGTATTCCACGGGAAGTACGTTACAGTTGAATTGGTAACACCTGAGCTTATGCACAAAGGCATGTTATGATTGTTGTGAACCTTGCGAAAGATCCCTTGCCGCTTTTTCTAATTTGTTAAAGATGATTTTGTTTCACATGCATTCAGCTATATCCTTGTTGGCTATTCTACAGTGAGAGTTTCTTTGTGTTCAGATGGCCAACCTTGAAGCTGAAACCTCAGGGATCCATGACAATGTCTACCAATTAAGAAATCATAAGTATCCGAGCTTACGGCGTGGAAAATATAGTGGTACACAAAATTTCTATTGTTTAATTTTTCTGTCTCTTTCTCTGTTTCAGTTCTGCCATTAAATATTCACGCAGCAAGCTGCCTAGGATCACGTTAGTGCAGAGTAGAACACTAATTCTGATACGTATTCGATTATTTTTTTTGTCTTAATGGTCCTTCGTATGCTTCGTTTACATAGCTTCAGTGGAGTTGCATAGAGCTACCCGTGTTGTTTTGCTTGACAATATTTAGTATCTAGAGTGCAGTACTAGTGCTTCATCTGATGGTAAGCAAGAGTTTGAGGATATCACTGAGGAAGATGAGGCTTCCTTCCATGACACAAAGGAGTCATTTAGTGAACCTGATGTTGGTTCTGTGCACACACATTTCAAGAGACGAACAAAGCTTCCTGATCCAGCAGAGAAAGAGAGAGGTGTCAGTCTCTGGTCTATGATCAAAGACAATGTTGGAAAGGATCTCACACGAGTTTGTCTTCCTGTTTATTTCAATGAACCAATATCTTCCCTCCAAAAGTGTTTTGAAGACTTGGAGTACTCTTATCTCTTGGACCAAGCATATGAATGCGGAAAATCCGTAAGTGATTTTTAAAACTTATCGATATCCCTCTGGAAATGCAAACGTTTTCTCTACTCTATACTTACGTTTAATTCCAATTACTAAAGTTTTTGAATACATAGCTTCCATGATCTTCATGATATGAAATCTGGTCTATAACTATGTTTTTATCTTGAATTGACCTCTCAGCTTGTTGTATTAACAGAGTTTTTCCTCATCAGGGGAACATTCTCCTTAGAGCCCTGAATGTCGCTGCTTTTGCGGTCTCTGGTTATGCTTCCACCGAAGGGCGACACTGTAAACCTTTCAACCCTTTGCTCGGAGAAACTTATGAAGCTGACTTTCCTGAAAAGGGAATTCGTTTCTTCTCTGAGAAGGTAATGTCATACATACTTGTTTAACTTAAGTCATAAGATGAACATAAATGTCAGTTTTCTGAGACTGATAAATGGTCAATAAACAAAATCGGTGATTCATGCAGAAGCTCTCTGATTCAGGAGCAGCTCTGTAGTACTCTACACATGTTAATATGCATGTAATTGACACTCAGCTTCACTCGTATCCGGATTTTAAGAAATGAAACATAGGGAGAAAAGAATATAAGAATCTTCTCTTAAGAAGTTTGGCCTATAACTCGTTGGGGTATTGTACTCTCATAATAGGTTAGCCACCATCCAACAGTTATCGCCTGCCATTGTGAAGGTAAAGGGTGGAAGTTCTCGGGCGACACAAACCTCAGGTCGAAGTTTTGGGGGAGATCGATCCAACTTGAACCCGTTGGAATCTTGACTCTCGAGTTTGATGATGGAGAAATTTTCCAGTGGAGCAAAGTATGTATAATACAAACTACAAAACTCCTGTCCTTTTCCACTTTTTATTTCTTGTCCCTGAGACTTATCACTCAACGCTTATACGTTATTTGTTTTAGGTAACAACAACTATATACAATATCCTACTTGGTAAACTGTACTGCGATCATCATGGGATAATGCAAATCCGTGGAAATCGCCAATATTCTTGTACTTTAAAGTTCAAGGAGCAATCGATTCTTGATAGAAATCCCCACCAGGTGATTTCACAGAGATACATACTGTTAACAGTTTTCGATCTATTTGTCTTGCATACCTGAAATAACTTTGATGGTTAAATATATATAGGTTAATGGTTTTGTAGAAGATGTAACTGGAAAAAAGGCCGCGACGGTATTTGGTAAATGGAATGATAGCCTTTACTATGTTGCTGGTGATGGACTCAACAAGGCAAGCGCCTCATTACTGTGGAAAGCGACTAAGCCACCACCTAATGTCACTAGATACAACTTAACATCATTCGCGATGACTCTAAATGAATTGACACCTGGTTTAGAGGTATATTACAGTGTGTTGCTTTGGATTTATTTATGAACATGGATTTTGGGTTTCTGCTGTACTTAAAATCTTGTTTTAGCAGCTGTCTGATCTTTTGTGTAATTTTGTTCAATTGGCTTAAGGAAAAGTTGCCTCCAACAGATTCTAGGCTCCGACCAGATCAACGGCACTTGGAGAACGGTGAATATGAGAAGGCAAATGAAGAGAAACAACGATTAGAGAGAAGACAGAGAATGGTACACTGAGTAATTGAGTATCTCGACACTAATTCTCTGGTCCATGAAATCATGAACCTTTTTATGTTTTAACAACTGTAAAATGCTTTTGATTCTGCAGTCACGGCAAATTCAAGAAAGCGGGTGGAGACCGAGATGGTTCGAGCCTCAAGAAGAGAGCGAAAGGTATAAGTATAAGGGCGGTTATTGGGAAGCACGCGATGATAAAAGTTGGGATGATTGCCCTAACATATTTGGAGAGTTCACCGAAGAGGTTGTAGATTGTGCTTAAGCCGAGGTTTTCTGATATATCAAAAGTTGTGATGTTCGTCAAATGGTTGATACCCTCAAGAAACTATAGTATCTTGATCACTCGATCGTTCCGTGAATCAGCTCTAGATTACAGATACATCTGGGATCTAACATTGTTATGGTTCAGGGGTAAGGAGGAACTTGAGCCGGTCCGCTCCCTAGGGATTGTGTCTCGACAATGAACAGAGGTTTCTTTCGGTTTGAGTTTTCTGTTTATCTTAACTCCGGAGATAGAAAGATGATATATTCTTTTTCAGTTCTTTTGTAATAATGGTTTTGCTATAGCTTCAAGAGGTTCCTAAAAAGAGAGTTTATAGAGCCTCAATGTAAAGGTCTCTGAGAGAAATGTAGTGTGGTTCCAACATTTGGACAAATATTCGTTGTAATCTATTTTGTACTTAATTCTATACAAAGGAAGCGATTAGAATTTGAGTTTATGCACTTGTTGGTCATTTATTTATCTGTATCGGCCACGTCTCAATCAAAGACCACCTAACCGGCACCCTCACAAAAATTGTGTTCTACGGTACAGTTAGGGATGTCAATGAGGATTAAAGCCCGAATTCAGGTCCAGCATGGCCCTAAAAACACCGGACTTGGATTTAGATATATAAGCCTAAAGAAAATCGGGCCTTTCAGCTTAATGCCCATTTGGGTTACAATGTTTTTCAGGATTAGTCAAAGAGGGTGTCTAAAAGTAATAAGAATTCAGAATGCATTCAAACATATTCCTTACTCTACTACCTAGATTTAAAGTGTTTTGATTTTATGTTTGATTTGGTATGAATTTTATAAATTTATTTGTATTAAAAATTTGCTTTTAAATTAGAAATACATTGGTTCTTATTTAAAATAGGTAAGCTATACACATGTAAATCTTATGCTATTTAATTTTATGATATAACGATTTAGAAAAAAAAACTTAAAGTTTTTTTTTTTTATCATTGAATCCTGACTCTAAACCAAATTTTGTAAATACCCTAAAATATTTTTAATTAAATTTAATGCTATATAAATAATTAAATACCATGGAATCATACAACTTTTTAGTCTATAAATAAACTTACAAATTAAAATTTTAAATATTTTAGTAACTTATATTTTACAAATAAAGTTGCATTTACATTATTCATAAGTTCAGGCTTATAGATTTGCGCTTTCAATTTAAATTTTTGTAAAATATGAAAGAGAATGTGTTGGTGTTGAAATGTATATTGTATATGTTTATATTGTTTAATTTTTCAATTGAAAAACACAATGCATTTAATATAAAGAAAATCTTTATATTGAAGCTTTCTTATTCAGAAAGTCTATATATTTAATTTTAGTAAGTTTAGTTAATAAGAATATGTAATATATGGAATGAAAAGTGTTTGGCAATAAGAATAGTAGAATTAAATAATTGAAAAGTAAAAAAGATGAGAATAATTGTCGGTTTGACACATAAGAATCAATGACCTCTTTTAATATATAGAGGATTTGGATGTGCACTGTGTTATAGAAAGCACCATTTTCAAAAGATGTTTTAATTGTCTGATGTATTACATGACAAAATATAGAAACTCAAATATGGACTATTAGAATGGAAGTAATGATAAGTTGTTAATATCTATAAACTTATTTATATAATAACAAGGATACATATGACTTGAAAAGAAATCCCAAATAGCCACATAACCATGTTCGGACTAGGTCGTGGTTTAAAATATATGCTTGAATTTTTTTTGAACTTGGCTAGATCGAATTAAAATATATATATATATATATATATATATGCAAGTTTTACAGATTTCGGATTACACTGAGCCGGGCATCCCGATTAACATGTCTATGTACAGTATACTGTATACGTATTATAGGTTTATAAAATTTTCTTAAATTTGTATTTTTACTGGTATCAGATGTCTATATAGTGTGCCTAAAGATATATAATTTATAATTCACACTGTTAATTAGAAAAACACTAGAGATAGTTCCGGACAACAAATGACAAATAGGAACCTTAGGGCCAAAATTTCTTTTTGGGTCCCTAACTAAAACTTATGTTTTTCTATGGGGTTTTCACTTTTCATCAAATATATGCTACAACTTTTGATATTTTGGGTCCTAATTCTTTTTTTTTTTTTTTTTTTTTCGTCAATAGGATTTCATTGATAGGATTCAAGGTGAAATACATGAGCCGGCAAGTACAAGACACTTCCGGAGACATAAGCTGGCGAGTACAAAAACACTCCCAGAGACAAAGACCAAAAATATTTTGGGTCCTAATTCACACTAAATATTTTTTTGGCCTTCTTTAAAATATTTTTTAAAAAACTGAGCTTTTTGTATAAGTTTTTTTTTTTAAAATGTGTATGAGCTTTAGCCCATGCACCTCTACCCTATCCACTTGGGTCGGACTAGTTAAAACTTAAACTATATTCGGTCAAAGGTCTCATACTTTTTGTTATGTTTTTTTTTAGTTATATAGCTAGGTTTCACCCTAATTCACAATAATGTGTATTAAGGAATTCATATATGCAAATGTTTAATATGTAACTATCAAATCCTATACCTCTATTGTACCCTTCGCCAGTTCGCCTATATATTGTGGTCTCAAAGAAAGTAACATTAATACAATAATGTTTTTACACAAATCTCTTATTATCTTTGGCTCAACTCAAAGACGTGTTTGTTGTCGGCCAAGATTAGATATTTTGTTCATATGGAATAAGCAATGGGCTATCTCAAGCTTAGTAGCGTGGTCCATATCTAGTTGATGTTAATGGATCTCAAGATTAATAGTTTTATATTTGATGCATTTTTATTTTATCACGTATTTAATAGATTTTATTTATTATTTACAAAAAAAAAAGTTTCTTATAAAATTAAAAACGAAGTATTACTTCGATTGTAGAAGTGATGCATAACCATTAACGACGACCATATAAAGTGATGCATAACCATTAACGACGACCATATAAAGTGATGCAACAACAATTTGTTAGAATCAATTACAACAAGTGAGATAAATATTTTTTTTTATCATTTTTTATAAACGTCACAAAAGTTAATATCAGTTGTGATAAACTGATACAATTTATTTCATCGTTTATACGAACTGATGTCACTATTAATATCACATATTTTAACTGACACACATTTACCATCACTTGTGAAAATAGACGCAAATTATTTACATCAATTATTAAAACTGTTAGTAAATATTTACATCGGTTATTGTATTCGTCGCAATATTTACATCATTTCTTATAACTGACGTATTGTACTATCATTCGTTATAATTGATGGAAATGTTTCTATTGGTTGCTATAACCGATGCATTAATTTGCATCGCCACTTTTGATATCAATTATATAAGTGATGGTAACTCAATTGTATCATTCGATAACCGATGTAAGTTTAGAAAATAAGTGATGCTCCACACGTTTTTCTGTAGTGATGGTGTCGACACCATGACTCATGTTAGTTCGTGCATGTCGTTACGTGATTACAATAGTTGGTGTAGCTATCGCAACATTTTCTTTGTCTGCATGTGTGACGATGTGATGACGTATTGTTGGCGTAGCTGAGAAATATTTTCCCATTTTTGTATTCATCATTAATATAGATCGTCTTATGTTAGATGTTGACGATCATATTTTCTAAATAAAGGCCTTATAGGTTTGGAGTTTTCGTAGGAATTGATGCTGTGTGGTCCAAATAGAAGCATAAATCTTTATACTACTGAAATATTGATGGTTTCAAATAAAGTCAATCCAATTAATCCCAACCGCAGATTTTCGTTTTTTTTTTTGGGAAAGAATTCGACGTTAAATCCTCCGCACCATTTGTTTAAATTGCGTCGTTTGTCAAAAATAAGAGAGAAATATGTTTGCATGTTTTGGCAAACTGCAAACAGATTACGATAATAGTTTTAGACGTTACGTGTGTGTACATTACATGTATACTTTGAAATACAGGAAGAAAATTTTGCAATCTTTCTTACCAGTTTGCCAAAACATGCATTCAAAGTATGTACTTCTCTAGAATGAAAACGTAAGAAATTTTCCTTCAAAATAAAATCTGTAGAAACAAATGTGAAACTTAGGAACTATCTTTGCTCCATGAAGAACCTTATCATAACTTTACCAAAAAGAAACCTCACTAGTATTGTAAAACAAGATAATACAATGAGAAACCACACCTATCGCCCAATAGCCTGGCAGAGAGAGCTCACACCTTTCGCTATTAAAGGTTGTGTGGTTCTGTTCGGAGAAAGCTCATGGATTTGTGTTCGAAGTGCTGCTCTCACATGACCTGGGAGCATTATGTGATCGAGGGTATTGAGAACTATGCCGTTGACGGCTCAGTCTCGGGCCGCTTGTGAAAGGTTTCTAGTGCTAGACGTTTGCGAAGTTCGGCTTTTTACAAGTTGCTTTGTCGTCTTTTGTCTTCTGTAACTCAACTGGAAGAACTTCAAAATCGTAATCACTTCATCAATCTCTGTTAGCTTAGTGTTAGCATCGAGTCGATGGACTGAAAGTGTGTTTATATGCTTCCATGTTTTTATATTTTTTGCCATGGGACCATTGCATAGGTCTATGATCTTTGATTGTATTCCTAACAATTTTTTATTTTATGAAATATTTACTTTCTTAGCAAAAAAAAAAAAAAGTATTGTAAAACAATCATCATGTAAATAAATCGTTAGTACACGTTTGTAGAGGTGTCAGACGGGCCGGCCCGCTTCCATCTGGGCCGGCCCGCGATGGGCATTTAAGTTTGTGAGACCGCGGGCATAACTATTATGTCCAGGCCCGCCCAGCTAAGCCCAACGGGTTAGCGGGCCGGCCCACGGGCTTAGTTTTAATATTTTAAAAATAATTAAAAAAAATAAAATTAATTTTTAAATTTAAAATTAACAATTTTTCAATTTTAAAAAAAACTTTTAGTATTTTTTTTTTTGTAAATCTTATAATTTTATACATTAGATTTCGTTATATGTTCATATATTTCACATATATATTTTCAGAATTATGTAAAAGTATTTATTTATTTATTTATATTAATTAATTATTTTTATTAAATATTTGTAGTCTGTGGACCGACCCGCAAATCCGCGGACAAAACCCGCAAAAACCCGCAATCCGCCTGGGCTTGTCTGCGAGGCCCACTATTTTATGGACATGAAAAATGATGTCTAAGCCCGCTCCGCCGTAGGCTACTTGGACAAAGTCCGCGGGCTATCGGTCCGCTTGACACCTCTACACGTTTGCACACTAATTCTCATGATTTGACCCAAAAACTCATTAATTTTTGACTCTGCACTAAACAACCAAAATTAAAATTAGGAAAAAAATCGAATGATTTCACAAACAAACAATTGAATCGGCAATCCCAAAAAAACGTATGCATCTAAATTAAACATAACCCAAACATGAATGACGTTGTGAACGTACTCATACATTAGACAACTATATTAGAGTGAGAAACATCATTGTTCTTCCGGAAAAAGCTGGTTACACTTTCTTAAAGTCAATAAAAACATTTGTCCTCAAAAAAAATATCATATATTTCAACGATGCTAGGACCAAAAATAGTTCATTCCGACAACAAAACAAGATTATTTCGAACTTCTTCAAAAGAAACAAAAAACAAGAAAATTGTTAAAGAGGGCATGTAATTTGATTGGGCAGCTATTTAATACTTTTCGTATTCAGCATGTCACATGATTAAACGTCAATTTCATTTTAATTGTAGATATTTGAAATAGTTATTTTTCCAGCAAGGTCTTCGAAATACTTTTAAGAAGCATATTCTTTTATAGTTTTCTACGTATTTGACATATATATATGGCTTTTCCAGATAAATAAATATATAAAATGAAAAATTTATGAATAATATCCACATTTACATAATTTTAAAAATACGTTTAAATTATATATTTGAATTTAGCAATCAAAAATATATAGCTGTCATGATGAGTGTTTTTTTTTTTAAATAAAAAACTATATGATATAGTCTATATCTTAATTTTAGTAGAAAGTAATATATGGTAGATAATTAATAATTATCAAAGGATTAAAACTCTTAAAAAGTAAATTATTATGCTCATAATTTGGTAATGTTTTCCTCTTAACTCTTTTTTTTTTGAATAAATGTAAAATTTATTCAACAAAAAAACCGTGTTACAATATATGCGTCCTTGAATTAATGTTTTCCTCTTAACTAATATTAAATTATTAATCATTTCATTACTTAGAGATTCTAGATTATATGTTCGTAGTGTCAACCATCTTTGATCTCCCTGACTCATCTTTTCGACTATATTTGTATTTATATATCTTTGCAAGACTCCAAAATTCCCAATGTCCCCACATTCATCCATTTGCTTCTGTCATTGAGCTTAATGTAACTCACATTCAAATCATCACGACTCGCGAGTCATACAACCCGAACGGGAACTTTCAATTCGTATGAATGTTATAAACCCGTTATTAAAAAAAAAAAACCATCCCTTAAAGTTCTGATCATCCAATTTTAAGTGTTAAATGTTCATACAAAGTTTGATATGCGGATTTATAACTTGGCTCGATACAAATGAAAAAACGGAATTATATGAGAAATTGAAAGAGAAAAATATTTTGTCGATTTACGAGTTCAGGATATTCGAGTTGAGATATATCTGCGTCTCGGCTAGAAGATTTAGTAATTCACTATCTAATTTACAACATGAGTAAATCTACAAGATCTAGAACTCGAGATGATAAAGTTTCAAAACAGAGGAAGAAGAAGCAGAGTTACATGCTTTTATATCAAATTCTTATGATATCAAACCCTCTATCCGAATAAGAGACTACCTCAATACAGAATTAACCAGTTTCCAATATCCCGGTTATGCTATAAACCGAATAAACCCGAGTTATAAATGAATCAGTTCTTCATCAGTACCACTCCATGGATCAGGTACACTTAATAATTAATCAGTGGGACACAAACACTAGTGAAGCTACACCACAATCTTGGAGAATGGTCTACTCATAATTTAGTAATACAGTTTTAAGATTATTAAAAATTATCGTTTGAAGGGTGATTTAAAGGAAAATCTCAAACTAATCTCGAGATATGTAATTAATTGTTAGGTGAAACTCACAAAGATCAATAGTTTTTTTTCTACAGCAATGTGAAGATTGTAATAATAATCTAAATACAACAATTTGAAAATGAGACGTTGGTTACGAAATTTCTTTCACTAAAATTTCGTTGAAACAGAAATAGATTGCAACAAAAGCATACAAGCCTGGAATGCGGGGGACGACGTTTACAAAAAAAAAAAAAAAACTATAAAAATCTCACACATTTATTTTTTATCTTTAACAAATCAAGATTCATACATAAACTCTAATATGCATTTATTCAAACTGTAGTAATTTTGAAGAGTATATTGTGTACGGGCATCGCATCCTATGCATAGCTGATATCGTTCAAGCACATTGGAAACCAGACGGAAGCTTTCTGTTACAAACGTTGAGAAGAACGCTGAGAGATACAGGGACGTTAAGGTTGATGCCAAGAACGTTAGCCCTAAGAGCAGTGCACAGACAAATCGCAGCGTCGAGGTCAACCAAACCTTGGATGAGCGAGCAACATGGTTGAGCTGATGGCTGACCCAACTGGATGTTAAGTAGACTGCTTAGGACATTTGCACATACACCGAGCTTGAGAGCATCTATAGGGCAGTTTCTAGATGAACTAGGGGTGCTTGGAGGTGTGACCGGCCTAGGATTAGGACTTGGGATGGAAGGAGTTGGGACCGAAGGACTGACTGGAGGAGGACATGGGACCGGCTTGGGCTTAGGACTTGGGACTGGCTTGGGTTTTGGGACTGGCTTGGGTTTAGGACTTGGCTTGCAGTTGCAGTTAGTTGCAACGGTTAAGGTGAAAAAGAGGATGTTGAGAGCAAAGAAAAGAGCAAGAGAGGCTGAGTTCTTTGAAGCCATTCTTGTTTTCTCAAAGATATATTGAATGGTTATTGAATGAATATAAATGAAGAGAAGGTGTAGGTATTTATAGGGTTTTAGAAAGATGTCAAGAGGACCAAATTGATTTCGTATACTTAATTATTAATTTATAGATATTTGTAATTATTTGCGCTTATCTACATATATATTTAAATTCTGACCCTTTTTCCCTATATGCATGTAGCTACGTAGAACCACGAAACTTTTTTTTGGAAAATCTTTTTGTAAAGCATTTTATATTTAAGAAAATACTTGATTCATTGCATTCATATAAGTATTAATGTCAATGCTGTTATTATCACCACCATCGTGAGTTCGTGGATGACCCCAGTGCACAATTTTTATTTAGATTTCTTTTGGCTCGTAGCCATTTTACTTGACGGCTTCTATACGTCAGGTCGGGTAATAAATTCCCAGTGTAGTTATAGTCTATGTATTTATATCAAGCTGATCCCGGCCATAGGAGACACACCCAAAATATCTTGACACACTCGGAAAAATTGTTATATGTCAATGTTTTTGAATTTAAGATACTCTAATGCATAAAATAGGAAGACACTAAAACCCTGCATGATTCGGGGTTTGTCTGAATATGGTAGTCGGTTAGGGGTGTGAATCCGGAACCTCCAAAATTTTTTCTCTATGCACAAGGACAAGGTTAAACCAATTTGTACTGTTTTGTATGCATTTTGAGAGTTGAAATTACGGAGGTTTAATGCATTTTGTATGCAACTGAAAATCAAAGTTTTAGAGCCAAAATTTGTTTAATGAAACAATAGAGATGAATTGCTAAATATTAAAGTTTTAGAGCCAAAATTACTAAAAATGTCATATGAATAATGTTGTAATTCATCTCAATAAAACTAAAGCCAAAAGATTCTTAAATTGAAGTAAATCATGACAGTCGTTAGAAGAACAGAGCGGTCGAGCCATTGACTAGGACAATCCCATGAAAACCGCAACTCAACAATTTTGAATTTTTTTGTTAATAATTTTAACATGGTTTACTCACTAGCTAGTTACGTTAGTTTCATGATATAATAAACTGATATTATCTAAAATCAATCCAAAATTAATTAACTGATAGTTTGATAAAATATATTCATATATAAAAGAACAAAGAAATCTAAACATTATAATTTTCCAGAGAAGGCTGGTTTCTCAAAATCAATTAAAAATATATGTCCCAAAGTAACATTTCATCTTTGATTCATGTTAGAATCTCCACCAAGTGATTTCACCAAGATACACACTGTTAACAGTTTTCGATTTATGAGTCTTGAATATCCAAAACAACTTCATAATCATATATATGTCTTGCACACTTTAAATAATTTCATTATCATTAGTTTTCTGGTCTTTTCCGCTACTAGTTTAACTTCAGTCAAAATTTTGATAATAATATAAATAAAATACCTAATATTAATTATAGAATAAATTAAAACTTTATGATCATATATATAGAAGATTATACTGGGAATCGGGCCTTGTGGTCTAGTGGTAAAGGGGTCACGGCTGTGACTTCCGCCACCAGGGTTCGAGGCACGGCCACTGGCGGATTTACATGAGGGAATCGCCAGCTCCCCGGGATGTGGGGTACCCTAGGGCAGATGACGCATGTGGGTCCCACGCTAGTCGGTTCCACCTCGGTGGGGCCGGACACCCGAGTTATCAAAAAAAAAAAAAAAAAAAAAAAAAAAGATTATACTGGGAAAAGAGGCCGAGACGGTTTTTGGTAGGAGTCATAGCCTTTACGTGCTGCTGGTGATCAAACACGTCTCTGAGCTGAGGCATAAATAAAAATATGAATCTAAATTATTGTATTAATGTTACTTATTGAGACCAATATACATACACGAAGGGTACAATAGAGATATAGGATTTTGATAGTTGTCGGCTAAGACTAGATATTTTATATTTATATTCACCATTATTCATTATTAAGAAATGTCTTATATATGTTAGCTGTTGACGATCATAATTTATTAATTAAGGCTATATAATATGTTTCGGGCTAAATTTTCGTAGGAATTGACGCTGTACGTGAGGTCCAAATATAAGCAGAAACATTAGTGGTTCCAAATAAAGTCAACCCGACGACGACTGATTAATTCCAATCGATCATTTTCGTTTTTTTGTAAGAATTCGTTGAATCCTCTTCATCATAGAGAAAAAACATTTTGTTACGACGTTTGTCAAAAAGAGAGATATGTTTGCATGTTTTGTCAAACTGAAAACAAATTACGATCATACCTTTAGAAGTTACATGATAGTGCATGTAGATATACATAAACTTGTCACATTCAAGTCAGTCACTATCGATATCTGATAGATGTACGTAAATAAACTTGGTGTATTTCAAAGTTTAGCTTCAAATTTAATGTTTAGGGTCTAGAGTGTAGTTTTTAAGGTTTAGTGTATACAGGCCCGGCTCTAGGCATGTGCCTTGGGTGCCATAGCATAGGGTCTATTTGTTAGGAGATCTCGGGATTACGAGATCGACTTGAAAGGAAAGTTAACATTTGTATAATATATTCTTATTATTAAATAGGTAGATTTCCTATTATCAAATATGTAAAGAACTTGCTAATCAAGTTATGATATTTGTATAAATAAGCCTATTGACTAATGAATAAAATTGAGAGAAACTATTCTACTACTAAAGTTTCCTCCAAACTTATCATGGTATCAGAGCTTTGATCCTATTCATGTGGATTATGGTTCTGTTACGTTAGCTTCCGCGTTTAAAAAAAAAAAAAAATGTTTTGATCATCGTTGCTTTGTTTAGGAAAATCAAACATACTCCATTGATTTTCTTTTATTTATGTTTTCTTTATTTTTATTTTCGTTTAAAAAAAAAAAAAAAAATACTTGATCGATTCCAAAAATTTGTTATTGATTTGTTGATCTCACCACGACTACAAAAGGTAACATAGACAATCAATGCAGTTTTGACGAAGATGATTTGTGTGCTTTGCTTTTGTTAAAAAAAAAAAAAAAAAAAAAAAAAAGAAAAAAGAAAAGAAGAAGAGAAGAGAGACGTGTTCATCGTGTCGGTGAATTACGTTGTTGAATTGGGTTATGTTTGGTTTTTAACCGGTCTTATGTGGTTTTCGTATAACTACGAAAAAAGATGGAAGCCACGAAGATGATTCTGACGGATACGATGCTAATCCGGCGGTGACGAATTCGAATTCGACCATGACTACTTTTTCTTGTCTTTTTTTTCTGAATAAAATAGGGTCCAAAATTTTTTTTTTCCAAAAACCATAGAGAAAAAGGCCTATTTTTTTTTCCAAGCTCAGGGACTTTAATAAAATTGAGCCGGCCCTATATTGAAGATCAACTATAACTACGTTTATGGTAGAGAAATAAAAATGGAAAGAAAATCTAGCAATCTTGACTATCTAGTATTTTTCGTTTTGTTTATTTACAAAAACATCAACTTCAATTTATTTATTAATATTTTAACAAAAAATAAATATTTTGTTAAAAAAACCTTTGGTGAGTCTAATTTTAAGAAGATAGAGAAATAAAAATGAAGGAAAATTGAAAGATCTCTAATTAATTTGAACAACTTTTGTGTGGTTTCTTAATTTAATTATTTTAAGTATTTCCTAATGGCAAATCAAGTAATTAATTACAAACGAAAGGTTTTATTTTAATAGTTTCCTTTTTATTATATAGGAGCTAGATATATAGCCTTTACTTATATTTTGTTTTTGTATTTGCATTTAAGAAAATAGCTACTATAGATGAAGTTGTTAGAAGTTACTTCTCAAATTTGTTAGATTTATTTTATGGTAGAAAAATAATAATAATTAAAAACAAAATTTTCCAATTAGCAAGTTATCCTTCATATATTAATTGAGAAACACTCTTAAAAAAATATTAATCTCATGTTATTAACGAAATTTTCATGCTGACGTGTCATTCCTAGAGAGATTCTTAGCCATTTAAATAATTGTCTAAATTATGAACTAAATAAACTATTCACAAAAAATTATATGATTCTTTGTTATTTAACTTAGAAATATATTTTATCGTTTTCAATTATTTTACGGATAAAACGAATTTTAATACGAAAAATCGATAATTTGAATGGTATAAAAAAATATTAGATGTTTTTGTAATACTTCAGATATTAGATAATAATACCATACATTTTGTAACTAAAAGTATAATTTAACAATCATATCACTCCGCATATAGTACGGGTAAACTATCTAGTTAAGCTCATATTTTGTTACGTTTTTCACTTAACATATCTGAGTAATATTAATTACCTTAACTTTATGTAACTCAATTTTCATATTCAGCTATTCATCAAAACACTAGAATGTATTAGTACTGTTAACCATGCATCTTTGACTCCTTCTTTGTAAAAATATCTTTGCAAGATTCCAAATTTTCCAGTGTCCCACATACATCCATTTGCGTCTGTCATTGAGCTTAATGTAACTCACATTCACATCATCACGGGTCACAAAAACCCGAACATGAACTTCTCCTGGTATGAATGTTAGAACTGATGATAACAAAACAAAACAAATAACATTTTCTTTAAATTCCTATCACGTAATTCTAGGTGATATTTAACGTTCATGCGTTGATCGGGTCCAACTTGAGAAGTTAGAATCTTGGCTCGTAATGAATGAGAAATTGCAAAAAAAAAAAAAGTTGATTTACGAGTTCAGTATATTCGAGTCGAGATATTTATGCGTCTCGGGCTCGTGGCTAGAAAATCTAGTAATTCACTATCAAGAATATACAACATGCGTAGCTCTACTCTAAAGTCGTGAACTCGTGATGATGGAGTTTCAAAACAGAGTTACAAGCTCTTATAATATCAAACCCTTCATCCGAATAAGAGACTCTCTCTTAAACCTTGATACCGAATTAACCAGTCTCTATTTTCATGCTTATGTTTTAATGAGCTAAACCGAATAAACCTGAGTTCTAAACGAATCACTTCTTCAACAGTACCGCTCATTCATGGATAAAATAGATTCTTAAAAAGTTGGTGGGACACGAACAACGCATCAAAACATTCGGTCAAGAATTGATTTCGGTTCGAACTTTTCGCTACAAAAACATTCGATCAAGGCCTCTTAGACATGGGAGCATGACCATCCATATTCTCTTCCAAGATCTCTCATTCATAGGAATATAGGATCATGATTTATTGAAAGCACATAAACATCATTGTATTGATATGATCAATCAAACCGCATTTCTCCCGGTCAAACAAGAAGAAAACTTTGATGTTCAATAACCGAGCTGTTCATTCTCTTACTCAAAAGCTGACGATAACACTTATATATGTTTGGTTGAGAATGTCTACTCATAACTTCATGTTTTAAATACAGTTTTAGGATTATTGAAAATCATGTTTTAAATGAAAAATTCAAACTAAGCTCGAAATATGTAATCGTTAGGTGAATATCACAATGATCAATAGTTTTTAGTAGAAATCAACTATTTTAGCATTCTTGATTCTACAGCATGAATATGTAAATATAAAGATTTTAATTATAATCTTAATGCAAGAATTTTGAAATAAGACTTTGTGTACAAAATCTCTTTTATTAAACGGGGAACGTTGAAAATTGAAATAGATTGCTACAAAAGCATACAAGCCCGGAAGACGGGAAACGTTGAGGGAAAAAAAAAAAAAAAACTATGAAAGTCTCACACATTTATTATTTCACTTTAACAAATTCAAATTTAAGCAAATACTCTAGCTTACATGCATCACATCGTATGCATAGCTGTTGATATCGTTCAAGCACATTGGAAACCAGACGGAAGCTTTCTGTTACAAACGTTGAGAAGAACGCTGAGAGATATAGGAACGTTAAGGTTGATTCCAAGAACGTTAGCCCTAAGAGCAGTGCAGAGGCAAATCGCAGCGTCGAGGTCAACCAAACCTTGGATGAGCGAGCAACATGGTTGAGCTGATGGCTGACCCAATTGTATGTTGAGTAGACTGCTTAGAACGTTTGCACATACACCAAGCTTGAGAGCATCGATAGGACAGTTTCCAGATGAACCAGTGCTGGGAGGTGTGACGGGCCTAGGGTTAGGACTTGGGACCGAAGGACTTGGGACTGAAGGACTTGGGACCGGCTTGGGTTTAGGACTTGGGACTGGCTTGGGCTTAGGACTAGGGACCGGTTTGTGCTTAGGACTTGGGTTGCAACCACAATCAGTTGCAGCAGTTAAGGTGAAGAATAGGATGTTGAGGGCGAAGAAAAGAGCAATAGAGGCTGAGTTCTTTGAAGCCATATTTTTTTCTTTTGAAAAGATAGGTTCGGTGTTTAAGGGTTATTGAGTGTGTTTGAGAGAGAGTGATGAATAAAAATGAATATAGGTATGTGGGTATTTATAGGGTTTTAGAAGGATGTGAAGAGGGCCAACTTGTTCTAGTATAATTGATTATTTACATATATTTCTAATTCTACAAAATATCTGTTTTTCATTTTTTTATTTGCGAGTATCTACATATACAAATTCTGACCTTTTTATTTTCCTTTATGTAGATTCGTAGAACCTTGAAATTATTTGTTATATCCTTTTCGCGATACAATTATAATTAAGAAAATATATGATTCGTGCATTCATATTGGTATTATTTTCAAATTATCAATGCGTTATAATCACCGCCATCATGATGAATTCATGACCTCATTGGACAGATTTTCAAATTCTTTTTGGCTCGTAGCCATTTTACTTGAGAGTTTCTATATGTTAGTCTAGTAGTTTTAGTACATTCCAGAGGAACTTGTGCTCTGCATCCTTTTCCGAATCTTGCTTGGAATGGATGTATTTATCACAAACTGGTCCTAGAAGAGGGAGATATCATCGGAAATTCCCGAACTTCCTCGGATTTTGTTTTTTCAGAATGTGAATGTTTTCGAATTTTTAGATCCTCTTTTGCATAAAATAGGAGGACACCAAAACCCTGGATGAATCGAGTTGTTCTATATGGTTGTGTCATTGGTGATGTAAAGGAAAAACATAAATACAATTTGGATCTCATATGGATTATGACTAATCCCAATTGGCAAGAGAATTTAGACATGACTGGCTTTTAAGGATGTATAAACACCTCAAAAAAATGCATTTTTTTGTTCTTTCTGTATGCATAAGGTTAGACCGATTTGTATTGTTTTACATTCTTGGATTTGAGATTTGAAATTATGGAAGTTTGATGAAGAAGAGGTTCGAGGTTGGCTAAAAACAACCCGTGATGACATCCACGAGAAGAATAGAGTGATCGAGCACTTTTTGAAATTACTATATGTGTGCTAGATCTATACGCGTTTGTATGATGAGAGAGTGTAACGAGTTCGTATGTGCATAAAGTAAATGAGACTCAAGAGATTTGTTAACGGGGTTCGGTTAACCTACATCCCCGGGACCAAGTCCAGAAACCATTCACTAGAAAAGGCCGCAACTTACAATTGCTATATGGTATCCACCACTCTTTTCTAGAATTACAATGAAAGAAAACTACTACTCCTAATGTCTTTTCCGACGAGTATAGCTTCTCAACAAAACCATCAAAAGATCTCTCTATCTTGTTGATGGGGCAACGTCAAACACATATGTGTACCTCTCTCGATAAACCCTAGACGCACAAGTCTTCATGTTGCCGTCTCTTGGTATTTATATCAAGTGCCAAAAACCCTAAACGACTTAAGCCACACTTTAAGTCTCTACAAGCAATTGGGCTTAACTTGAACAATGGTCCACAACCCACGTAACTTTTTTTGCTTTCATGCTAGAAAGATTCAATCTCGATCTTATTCCAACAGCTTCAATAGTGTTCCGACAATATCTGCACTTTCACTTTTCTTGGACAATCACATGAGATTCACAACACATTCATTAGAATTAAATTTCTTAGATTATACTTTTAATAGGGTTTACTCGATAGTTTAGACTAGAATTCTAATTTGATAAACCTTATATTATTTAAAACCAAGCCAATATTATCTAAGCCTATACGCTATTTTCTATGGAGAAATACAACTAACTTTGAGAAAATATAAAAAACAAAGGAATCTAAATTATGGGTATAACCCAAACATGAAACTAAGATGTGAACTAACTTAGAGTAACGCAAAATCGTTTGATTTTCCGGAAAAGGCTGGTTAGAATGCTTTTTTAAAGTCAATAATAACTTTTGTCCCAAAAGAAAATATCATCTTTTTTCAGCAATGCTAGGATAAAAATAAATAAAAGTCAATTAGATAATGACATTTGGAACTTCTTAAAAATAAACCAAGAACAAGGAAATAATTAAACACAGTGATACACGAATATATAAGGTTTGACTGTGCATATATCTATTATATACTTTGAAAGTGAGTATTATTCTTCACGTTTAAACGCCAATTACATTTACATTGATATTTCAAGGGCAGCGTATTCATTTCATAATTATTTATATTTGGATTATAAATTGAACTTCTTATTAAAAATAAAAATTATGTATCATTTTTTTTTTACGAAGATTTTATTTGTAACCGCAATAATATTTTAAATATATATGCTTGTATTCTAATATAAACAAATACAAAAATTATTTGTAGTTATCTTTCTTTTGAATTGCTCTGTCCAACTAGAAAAACATCTCCAAATTAAAAAAAAATTATTTTACTGCTACAAAACATTACTACATTGATATATAAATGCAACATACTATTTTCTGCTGATATTGTAGTATCTTTTATCAAGTTTAAATTTGATTATCAAAGGCTAAACAAAGCATCGGTACGTTCAACTACATTACAATTTTGGAGAAGTATCAAATTATATTTTGATACTTTAAGCTTGAGTTTATATTGATTGGAAAGTAAAATTAATTAAAGGAAATACTTGTAAATATATTTGTAAGATGGATCGCCTCCTTCTCTCACTCTTGTAAATATTGATTGTCAATACACTTGTATTTTAATACAGTTGAAAAATACTTAATAATATATTTGTAAGCTCGGGATTAAGATTTGTTTGTATTGAACCTCCTTTTTCAAAAATGACTAAACTCATGCGAAGTATTCGAATCCAAAAATAGAAGTGAAAAAATATATGAATACATAAGACATTGACTATGAAACGTCGTTCATTTAATTTAACTGTATTAAACAAAACAAAAACTTACAACAAAAACAGAAAAGCGTTTACAAAGAAGTATAAATAACGTCTCTCACTTAAACAAAAGATTCAAACATTAAACCTTAAACTTGCATACATGCATGCAATTATTAATACTGTAATTATTTTGAAGAGGAAAATGTGTGTGCACTTCCTATGCATAATCGATACCGATCAAGCACATTGAAAACCAGACGGAAGCCTTCTGTTACAAACGTTGAGAAGAACGCTGAGAGATATAGGAACGTTAAGGTTGATGCCAAGAACGTTAGCCCTAAGAGCAGTGCAGAGACAAATCGCAGCGTCGAGGTCAACCAAACCTTGGATGAGCGAGCAGCATGGCTGAGCTGATGGCTGTCCCAACTGCACGTTAAGTAGACCGCTTAGGACATTCGCACATACACCGAGTCTGAGAGCATCGATAGGACAGTTTCCAGATGAGCCAGGGGTGCTCGGAGGTGTGACCGGCGTAGGGTTAGGACTTGGTACCGAAGGAGTTGGGACCGAAGGAGTTGGTACGGAAGGAGTTGGAACCGAAGGAGTTGGGACCGAAGGAGTTGGGACCGAAGGACTTGGGACCGATGGAGTTGGAACTGAAGGACTTGGGACTGAAGGACTTGGGACCGAAGGAGTTGGGACCCTAGGAGTTGGGACTCTAGGAGTTGGTACCCTAGGACTTGGGACCCTGGGACTTGGGATCGGCTTGTGCTTAGGACTTGGGTTGCATTTACAATCAGTAGCAGCGGTTAAGGTGAAAAAAAGGATGTTGAGGGCAAAGAAAAGAGCAAGAGAGGCTAAGTTCTTTGAAGCCATTGTTATTGAGTGTGTTTGAGAGAGAGATGAAGAAAAATGAAGAGAGGGTGTGGGTATTTATAAGAGTTTAGAAGGATGTGAAGAAGAACAACTTGTTTTAGTATAATTAATTACTTACAGAACAATTCATTAATGAATTCATGACCCCAATGCACATTTCAATTATTTTTTAGGGCTGTCAAAAAATTATTAATTTAGCAATATTTTAATAAAATTACTCTATTTTAACAAATTAAATGTTTATTATATATAGAAATTACATTACAATACATAAATAAATATTTAAAAGTTAAAACATTTTTGTTTAAACATAAATATGTTGTTTCGACGAATGATCTATTAACATATCGCAAAGAGAGAAATGAGATCCTTTAAACTAGTTTGAAAAATACAATTAGTTTTAGGTATATAATAAAACATATAATTTTGTTTAGATATAAAATGAAAACATATAAAATTATTTATATATACATACGATAAAAATATAAAATTTGAAGGATCACATTATAAACAAAAAATATTCCACTCCAAAATGAAAGGATAAATTGTGCTACCCTAAATTGTTCATAACTACAGATTTGTTCATCACTCTATTAAAAATGGTTGTCCTTAACCTTAATAAATGAGCAATGAGTAGAAAATGGAGTACCATTGAAATAGTCTCAAAACCGGTCCTAATTAACAACCCAATAATTACAAATCCTTGTTGAATTTTAAATTGCTAGCTATACACAATTAGATTAGTTTAGTTTATCACTCTATCGATAGTTAGATTAGTTTCCTACTTTGATAAACTGATACTTGAAAGTTAAAACTAAAGTGATTATACTACGATGTGAACATACTCAAAATTTAGTGTAACGCAAAATCATTTGATTTTCCGGAAAATTAAACGCTGGTTCAGTGTATCTTAAAGTCAATAGTAATATTTTGTCCTGAAAGAAAATCTCATCTTTTTTAGCAATGCTAGGACAAAAAGAAGAAAAGATAGACCAATATTTGCACTGCAAAAACATCATCGTTTCAGCAATGCGAAGACCAAACAAAATAAGTCAATTAAGACAATAACATTTGGATTCTTTAAAAGAAATGAAGAACAAGAAAAACTAACACGGTGATATGGACACATTAATACTTTAATATATATGGAAAAAGTCATACAAAAATAATAATAAGGTTTAACTAGGTAGCTACTATTTTAAACGTCAATTATATTTATTTGAAGTGGTAATCTTTTCCACCACGGTCATACGTGACATCGTCGAAATTTTGAGTTAGTCGTATATTCATTTCATAACTATTAGATATTGGATTGGAGGTATATTACTATAGTATTCGATGTATCACACTTTTTAATCATGTTTGTTTATGGTATCCCGGTACTGAATGTAAATTTAGAGTTAAGGTTTAATATTCAAATGTTCGTATAAAAATAAACTTGTAAATTAAAAAATAGTTAAAATAAATTTCAAAGTTGAAAAAGCCTAAAACCAAATGAAAAAAAAAGCCTTTGAGCGGCTAGCTTCTCTCACAAAACTTGAAAATTTCATAGTTATTATGGTATCCTTTTTTTTTGTTTCCAGTTTGTGCGTGTATCGCTTACGGTTCTTCGTTTCGTGGTTAGTGTCTCTTTCCGGTGGCGATAAAAGTGACTAGAGTTTGCAATACGGAGATGCAAGACTGAGTCACGACGGCAACATTTGTTCCTCGGCTTGTTGAGTCACTTTGGGAGTTTTTGGTCTTTCCAAATTTGTGAGGACTGGATCCGGGGCTTGTGTCACCACATATGTAAATTTACTTCTGTACATAGAACTCTTTTTTTTTCGGTTTAATGTTAATACATAAAACTTAGTGTAGCTAACATTTACATTATCACGAATCATATATACATTCCGAACATATATTACCCTCCATTCGTATGCATATTAATTACAAAAAAAAATTAGAAATAGACGTTGGTTACAAAAGTTATTTCATTAAACAGGTTGAAAATTGATAAATAAATTGCTACAAAAGTATTCGATGTTTTGTTGACTTTTAAAATACTTTAACTGGTTAAGTCAACCCAAGTATATGTATTTTATTGCGCGCTTATTAAAGAATTCGTATTTGTTTTGGCAAAAATATGTAAGTTCAGGATTTAAATAACCATTGTCTTTCCTATTATTGAGTCGCTTATTATTTCCAGTTTTGCGTAATTTGGAAATATTATATTTAACTGATTACATAAGCTTGGATTTGGTTTGGCCGGTTCTAATTCCACTTTGGGTTTTAGTTTTGTTTATGATTTAGCAAGTACGATCTTCACCCAATCTTGGTTTTTTGTTGTGTAAGAGAATTTCAAAGCAATTAATTTGTAAGGCTTATAAATATATGAATAATAATAGGGTTACAATATCATGAAATCTAAATGAAAATAAATAAAAACAGAATTAGCGAAGAAACTATATTGATGTGCTACGTAATAACCTAAATAAATAATTGATAATGTATTAACAATAAGAAATAATTGATACATGATAAAATTTAAGCATCAGAACTGGAGAGTGCAATCCGTGTTAGTCTTCTGTGAAACAGTCACATATAGCTATCAAGATGAGTATGAGAAGAAAACTCACGGTAACAATTATTCCGATGAGTTGGAATGGACTAACAACCATATTGTTTCTTCAACACACCAAAACTTGTCTTCTTTACTCTCTTTTTTTGTCTTCTTTTTTTTCTAGCAAGGATATTTTGTATAAGATGAGTAATATAGTAGAGTATATATATATACATATTCTAATTGCCTTATATCTACAACTTGGCGATCAAAATTAACATAACGAAAAAGTTAACATAACAAAATCGAAAAACAAAGAGAAAGAATTAAGTTAACATAAAAAAAAGGGAAATTTAAGTGAGTGGGTAGTTTTTAAGTTTATATTTAAGAGATTGGGAAGTTTAGATTAGGGTTTAGGAAAAGGGTAGTGTCTACTGTTGGGTGTTCGATTATATCCCTGACCAACTCGATTATTTAGGAAAAGGTTGAAGCTGGTCATGAGTATAATATTTCCAGTTTTAGGTAAATTATTTTATTTATTTGTTCAAAAAAAAAAAGTTAAATTATTTTATTTCGTTTTTCTTTAATTAAAAATACGAAAGTGTACAAAAACAAAAAGATGTAAATTGAACCCAATGCTCATTGGCTATTTAAACGGGGTAAAACCAAATTTTTGTTTTTAAGTTTTTTTGGTTTTTGATTTTGGTTTAGTTTTTGGTTTTTTTTTTTTTAATTATTAGACGTTTTTTCAATTTTCTATTTTAATTTTTAGTTTCTGTTTTGTGTTTAAAATTTATTAAACCAATTATAATACAAAAAGTTAAAAAATTATAAATGCTCAAAAAATATGTCACGTAAATTTGTTGGAGGAAACCCAGAGAATTTAGTTTTTGGATTATGTGAACAAATTACCAAAATCTATTAAATTTCATATTCCTTATTTTAAAAAATTTACTTTTGTCATCCTCGTTAATGGCAGTAAATTAGTTTTTGTAAAATCGAAAATTCAAAACAACTTCAAAATCTGCAGGCATTCAAAACAACTTCAAAATTTGAAGTATCACGTTATAAACAAAAAAAATTCCACTCCAAAATGAAAGAAATTGTCTTACCCAAAATTGTTCAGTCCCCAGATTGTTCACCCACAACATGAAACTAAACTTTGAGAAAAAATGTCATGAGCATAACCCACAACATGAAACTACACTTTTCACAAAAAAAAAAAAAAAACATGAAACTAGATGTGAACATATTCGAAATTTGGAATCACGCAATATCATTTGATTTTCCGGAAAATGCTTGTTTAGTGTTTTCCTAAAGTCAATACTACTCAATAGTAATATTTTTGTCCCGAAAGAAAAATCTCATTATTTTTAGCAATGCTAGGACAAAACGAAAAAAAGATAGATCTAATATTTGCACCGAAAGAAAATATCATAACAGCAATGCAAAGACAAAAAAAAAAAGTCAATTAAGAAAATATATAACATTTTAGATTCTTTAAAAGAAATTAAGAACAAGAAAAACTAACACGGTGATATGGACACATTAATAATTTAATATATGGTTTTAAAGAAAATCAGACAAAAAAAAATAGATTTCAAGTGTTATCTTTCCACCACGGCAGTACGGGGGATCGTCGGAATAGTATTATTTGGTATGAATGTAAATTTTGAGTTAAGGTCAGAGTACTTTAAGTTCGTATTAAAAATAAATTTCAAAGTTGTAACTTTAAGTTTCTACTTGTATACTATATGCAGTTGTTGGATGAAATATAAATTAGCTATATTTTACTGCAAATAAATAAAGTTTCTTTTTAAAGCTAGCAAATAAATACATTTTTGTGAGGCCAAATTCTTCTAAAACATTTTTCTTTAAATGCTTAAAAATATATAAAGGGGAAATATATTTTCTAGTTCTTTTGGTAAATAATGCATCTGTCGTTAAGTCGATTTTTTTAAATATAGTTCATATTCATATCATCATTTTGTTGTCTTTGCTAGAGTCATATCATCATTTTATCAAAACCAAAATACTGAAATCTTGGATTTTAATTCTTATTTGGGTGAGCCTATTTTTTGGCTCCACTTAAAGATATTTATTTGGGTTTCTATGAAATGAACACTTAAAACTTTATAATAGTAATCCATATTTCGCTGATTTTAAAGGATCGTCATTTTTGTTTATTCGCCATTAGTATGGGTCGTCTTATGTAGACGTTACGTTGACTTGACAATCACATTTTTTTTTAAAAGATTTACGAAAATGTACATTTTTATTGACTTTTATCTTTGGAGCTTCGTATTTTTCATACGGATTATAATTAGTGGTTCCAATTAAAAGTCAGCCCTACGATGACTAGTTAATCCCAATCACACATTTTTATTGTTTGAATTTGTAAAGAACTCGTTAAATGTTTCGCTCGTCTTTAACAAATAAGAATAATTACAACGGAAAATGTGAAAATCATTGACAAACAGAAAATGAAACTTTGGAACTATTTTTGATCCTATTTTTTTTTTGATCCTATTGGGAGAAGAAGAATCGGAAGATCGACGGTGGATGAGAGATCTCGGGATTACGAGATCGAGTTGAATATATTTCCTAATTATTATTAGGAAAGTTAACATTTGTGTATATCTTCTTATTGTTAAATAGGTAGATTTACTATTATCATAAATGTAAAGAACTTGCTATGCAAGTAATATCTTTGTATAAATAAGCCTATTGGCTAATGAATAAAATTGAGAGAAACTATTCTACTACTAAGGTTTCCTCCAAACTTATCAGATCCATGAAGAATTTGATTTTTTGTCAATTGTTTATAAAAATTAGAATGGTTTAGAAATCCAACCCCGGAAAAAGAAAGTTTACATAAAGAGTTCTCATGAAAAACCTTTCTACTTTATAACAATCATCAATTAAATAAATGTTAGTACATTTGATCAACCTAAATCTTTATGCCAAACTTGTGCTTAGGCCCAAAACTTATCTTTATAACACTGCGGTAAGCCGGTAACACAGCTTAAGCCATGCATGTAATTCATAATATTTTACAACCACTTTACCAACGTATTAAAAAAAAAAGAACTTAGTAACGACACGTGAAGCAGATATATCAACTAAAACGTTGAGAAAATGCAACTAAAAGTAAAACGAATAAATAAATATAAATTATTGACACAAAAAGATAAAATTTACGATGTGAACGTACTCATATTTTAGAAAATTAGAGTAACGCAAAAAAAAAACCATTGATATTTCCACGAAAAAAAAAACTGGTTTACTCTTACTTAAAGTCAATAAAACATTTCTCGTCAAAGACATGCATATTTTCAACGATCATAGGACCACAAAATAGTTCAAGCTGACAATAAAAATATATATTTCAAACTTCTTCACAAGAAACAAAGAGCACGAAAAATTAACAAAGTGAAATGGACACATAATATGCATATGGAAGATGATTTTAAAAGAGAGGATGTAATTTGATTGGGCAGCTATTTAATACTTTTTCATATAGTTTGCACAAACGTCAATTTCGTTTTGATTCTAGATATGTCAAATAGTTTTTACTTCCAACAAGGTTGTAAGTAGTATTTGAAATATTTTTAAATAAGTCTTTTGTAGTTTGCTACATATTTGACATATATGGTTTTTTAAAAATAAATAACCAAATGAGAATTTTGCGTATAATATAGATGTATATTACAAAAAGATGTTATTTAATTTGTATTATTAAAGTTAGCTACTATAGATTTTAACCTTATTTATTACTCCCTCCGTTTCATAATATAAGGCGTTTTAGATAAAGTATTTTGTTTTACAATATAAATCGTTTTCGAGTTTCAATGTAAATTATATATTATTTTAATATTTTATGATTATTTATATTATGCAGTCTCTTTTATGATTAGCTGAACTTTTAAAAAATAGATTTTCTTAATCTGCGTGCTTTTACCTAAAACGACTTATATTTTGAAACAGAGGGAGTAGTATTTTTTTTTGGGTTGTCAAGTGGTATTAACACCACCTTTTCTTTCCTCTCACTTAGTAAATATTATAACCCACCAAAAATTGGGTTTGGTGACATTGAGGATATAACTCGGCAAATAAACTCTGGTCAATCGATCATTTTGACTAGATTTATTTTATTACATATATTTCATAAATTAATAATGTAATGTTTTCGACTTGTAAGCTCCACTTATGGCCGGTTTACTATTAACAGTGGTCTCAAAAACTTGTTACTGATCTTATAAATCACTACGTGATTTTTTTCTTTGTTAAGTCCCCCTACTCATACGGTATCAAAAATTATTTTTTGGTAGGTTATCTATTCTAAAATTGCTTCAGCTCAACTATTTTAAAAAATTTTAGGATGATTGACCGAAAATATAAATGTATTTTGATTGTTAGATAGACAATCAAATTCTTTTAGATAATAATTTTCATGTACCATCATATTTTCTGAAATCGAAGTGTTACAAATAAAACTTTAAATTTAAATTATTAGGTTATATATTGTAACAATAATCTCATAATATTTCCAAATACTATTCAATATTTCATTTACAAGGACTTTTAATATGTATACACGGCAATATCATAAAATTATGGTATTCGATTTTCATATTCAGTTATCCAAAATCTTAGATTTATTTCTTCTACTCTTTCTTTCCGACTATATTTGTACATAGATATATCTTTGCAAGAGTGATCCAAATTCCCCAGTGGATGATCACCACATACGTAAATTTAATTCTGTATCATAGAGCTTAATGTAACTAACATTTACACATTGTCACGAGTCATATACAATCCGAACATAATCCTCCATTCGTATCATCGTATGCATGGTAAAATAGAAAAAAATCCACATGCTAGAATCTGAAAATAAGACGTTGGTTACAAAACTTATTTCATTAAAGAGGTTGAAAATAGATAAATAGATTGCTACAAAAGTATACAAATGGGGAAGACGGGAAATGTTTTTTTTTAAACTATAAAACTCTCACATGTTTATTGTATCACTTAAAACAAATTCAGATTTAAACATGAAAATCTAGTTTACATGCATTTATTCAAACGGTAATGATTTTAAAGAGAACACTGTGCGCATGAGTAGTAAGGATAACTGCTGATATCGTTCAAGCACATTGGAAGCCAGACGGAAGCCTTCTGTTACAAACGTTGAGAAGAACGCTGAGAGATATAGGAACGTTAAGGTTGATGCCAAGAACGTTAGCCCTAAGAGCAGTGCAAAGACAAATCGCAGCGTCGAGGTCAACCAAACCTTGGATGAGCGAGCAGCATGGCTGAGCTGATGGCTGTCCCAACTGCACGTTAAGCAGACCGCTTAGGACATTCGCACATACACCGAGTCTAAGAGCATCGATAGGACAGTTTCCAGATGAGCCAGGGGTCCTCGGAGGTGTGACCGGCGTAGGGTTAGGACTTGGTACCGAGGGAGTTGGGACCGAAGGAGTTGGAACCGAAGGAGTTGGGACCGAAGGAGTGGGAACCGAAGGAGTTGGGACTGAAGGACTTGGGACCGAAGGAGTTGGGACCCTAGGAGTTGGGACCCTAGGAGTTGGGACCGAAGGAGTTGGGACCCTAGGAGTTGGGACCCTAGGAGTTGGGACCCTAGGACTTGGGATCGGCTTGTGCTTAGGACTTGGGTTGCATTTACAATCAGTAGCAGCGGTTAAGGTGAAAAAAAGGATGTTGAGGGCAAAGAAAAGAGCAAGAGAGGCTGAGTTCTTTGAAGCCATTGTTATTTTTCTTCAGTGTTTTAAGGATTATTGATTGTGTTTGAGAAAGAAAGATGAAGAGAAATGAAGAGAAGTTGTGGTTATTTATAGGGTTTTTGAAGGACGTGAAGAGGATCCAACTTGTTTGACTATGATCAATTATTTGTATTTAATTATAATTCTACAAAATATCTGATATTTCATTTTGCGCGTATCTACATAATTCAAAATCTGACTTTGTTTCTGTAAATTAAGAGAAAACATTGGATTCGTGCTGTCAATTTGTCAATGCTGTTACTATCACCGCCATCATCAGTTCATGACCTCATGGCACATTTTATTCAGGTTCTCTTAGGCTGATCGTAGCCATTTTACTTCAGAGCTTATACATTTAGAATCTCACCAATAGAAAATAGTGTAATAATTCGTCTTTATGGATAGGTTATGCATAATCTAGGAGGAAATTATATATAGTCCTAGAAAATTATATATCGAATTATATTTGAATGTCCATCGGACCAACCTAACGTAGCTAGCCTGTTATGGTCCAAACAAATTTCTATGTATTACGATTTGATCTGATTTTTTTTTGCCTTGCGGAGTCGTCTAAAACTATTAAGCGCAAGCTGGTAAAACGTACTTGAAATTAAAATAATGAAAAACAGATCCAAATAAATAATACAAAGTTATTTTCTTAATAGTTATTTTAAAGACGATAATATAAGATAGAAATAAACCAATCACAAAGCAAAATAAACTTTTTAAGCTATATATATTTTTTATTTTTTTTTTTCGTCAAACACCATTTTATTAAGTTATCGGGAAGAGACTCTCCTCTGAGGAGAGCCAATCAGGAACCGATGAGCTTACATGGGAAAAGATACAATTACGGGCTCGGGCTTTCTTAGCTAAACAAACAGCCCGACCATTAAAAATACGAGGAATAAACCTAGACTGAAGAGTTACAGCAAAAGATATAGAAATACTACTGATAGGGAGTTCCACCACGAAGGAAGGATTCTCGTAGATGCGGAGGGCTGTCCATTTCCAGAATGCCAAGCTCCATGGTAACCATTGCCAAAAGGAATACAAAAGATTCCGCCTGAAGTGCATGAGCATTCATTCCCTGAAAAGGGGGGTCGCAAAAAGGACGAGAAGAAAATCTCGCGATCCAAAGTCCAAAGTCGTCGATAAAGAGAAGGGAACGAAACCAAACAATTGTAGGCAGAATTCTCGAACCAAGCAAAGAGATACACGGAAGGTTAGTGCCCGTGAGTATGAATGATGTAAAAGGGTACAAAAAACCTCCTCGTCTCGTGAAGGGAATCACCATAGAAAGCATAGTGTTTTGGGACTCAACTAAGCTTCTCAGGAGAAGGCACATAAGAAGTTTACCACGCCTGTGAGAGATGCTAGCTGAAGAGGTCTCTCTTTCAACAAAGAGGAAGTTAAAGCCATGTCTCTCCTCAAGGGAGGAATTAATCGAGTCGGGAAACGATAGATCTAGGGTCCATAATCCAATCATGCCCTGACCACCTTGATTCATTTTCCCAAACTTGAAAATTGACTTATTGCAACCAAACGCCACTGGCCTTAGCAAGCTGTGATTACCCAAATGAAGAATGTGGTTGGTTTCGCACCATAAAATTCGATCCCTCTTATTGTCGCGGTTCTTTGAAACCGGATTTTCAAATTCGCAAGATAAGAGCATCCAAATTTTCGAACAAGGTCTCTTAATAACCGGCAATTGATCAATCCCAAAAAAAAGAGTGGTCGGAGCTTTCCGGATTGTTGGATCCAAATGCACCCGCGGCTGGGAGGGGACTCTTCTGACAACTTGAAGAATCGGCGGCACCAGATCTGGAGGAATGATGCAAATTGCGGCAACTGATTTAAAAGAACTGAAACGGTACTTGGGGGAAGCAGCAGAACCGGAGGAGGATGCAGAGGAGAGTTTCGCGGTGGTACACGGTGGTAAAGATCTTCGGAGCTCAACTAAGCTTCTCATCAGGAGGAGACACATTAGAAATTTGCTTCGCCAGTGAGGGATGCTAGCCGAAAAGGTCTCTCTTTCAACAAAGAGGAAGTTAAAGCCATGTCTCTCCTCAGGGGAGGAAAGAATGGAGTCGGAAAACAATAGATCCATGGTAAACATTCCAGTCATGCCTTTATCACCTTGATACATACTCCCAATCTTGTATATTGACATGTTGAAACCGGACACCAATGACCATAACAAGCTATGATTACCAGCATTGTGAATGAGTTTGATTTTACGCCTTATTATCTGATCCCATATATTCTCGCGGTTCTCTAAAACCGGACTTTCAAAATAGAAAGATAAGAGTATCCCCATTGCCGAAAAGGATCTCTTGATAAACGACAAATTATCACTAACAAACAATAGAGTGACTGGAGCAAAATTACTACTACATAAACATGGGGATCGTTTAGGTTTCAACATGCCCAATAACAAAGAATCTAAACACTGGCCCAAAAACCAGGAAGGCAAAAGCTGGCCCATATTTATTAGCCTGAGTAAAAACTGGCCCAAATTCATCAGGTTCCTTACTGGGCTCTTCAGGCCCAATAACAAAAAATATATTCTTTGGCCCAAAAACCAGGAATGTGACTGGCCCACTACGATTAGGGTTTCGTCCCTAACTCGAGGAGGACTCATAGAAACAAAACAGCGGCGGCGGTTAACCGGAGAGGCGAAAAACACCGACGAAAATTCATTTCGGGCTGTTGGAGCCGATCTCGAATACAGAGACCGTTGCTTTGGACTTCGAGTAATTGAAATGGATCTCATCGGCGACGATGTCAACCGGTGGAAGGAGTGCAAGATTCTCGTCGGAAGAAGCCGGCGGAGGGAGGAAACCAGTGGGTCAGAATAAGGCAACTCAGAGGCCATCTGTCCAACTGTGACCTTAGAGCCAAGATACTCAGGTTTGGAGAAAAAGACACAAAGGACTCAATGGACACCTCAGTTGCCAATTTCGAAATCCAAACAGAAAGCATAGGGAAGGATCTAACGCGGCGGAGAAGATTAAAAGTGTAGCTAACTTCGGTTGCTGAGACCGAGAGGCAAACAAGGTCAGCGGTAATCTCCGGCATCACCCGAGGATTCCGCCTCGACTGATTGTAAATGTTGGTGGCTGGATCTCGAACTGCGGAGCAGGGAGCAAGCCACACACACCAAGGTTCTTCCAGTAGCAAACCGGAGACATAAATGAAGGTGAACCTGGCTAACCTGAACCAAATAAGGTCACCTAGACGGGTGAGTGATGGATCATCTGCTGTTAGCTCCGGTGAGGCTGAGTTCTTTGAAGCCATTGTTATTTTTCTTCAGTGTTTTAAGGATTATTGATTGTGTTTGAGAGAGAAAGATGAAGAGAAATGAAGAGAAGTTGTGGTTATTTATAGGGTTTTTGAAGGACGTGAAGAGGATCCAACTTGTTTGACTATGATCAATTATTTGTATTTAATTATAACTCTATACAAAATATCTGATATTTCATTTGGGCTTATCTACATAATTCAAAATCTGACTTTGTTTCTGTAAATTAAGAAAACATTGGATTCGTGCTGTCAATTTGTCAATGCTGTTACTATCACCGCCATAATCAGTTACCTCATTGCACATTTTATTCAGGTTCTCTTAGGCTGATCGTAGCCATTTTACTTCAGAGCTTATACCTTTAGAATCTCACCAATATAAAATAGTGTAATAATTCGCCTTTATGGATAGGTTATGCATAATCTAGGAGGAAATTATAGTCCTAGAAAATTATATATCGAATTATATTTGAATGTCCATTGGACCAACTTTTTTTTTTTTTTGATAGGAATGTGAATATCATATAAAATGAAAATGAGGTTTTACAAAGTAGCTTAACCTAGATATGTAAACTTGCCAAAAAAGAAATAAAAAACAAGGTTTACAAACTGAAGTTGAGTGTCAATCAACAAGAGTCAACGGATCCAACGAACCATAAGATTCCTGAAGAGCTTACGATTACGTCTAGCCGAGATAGTGTTTCGAACCTCTCTATCAATGTCTCTAAAGACAGTAGCAGGAGGTATGAAAACTTGGTTGTGCAGGATATTATTTCTCTGCTTCCATATATGAAAAACAGCAGCTTGGGCCACGAGTTTCCTAAGGATCTGCGGGGCCGAATTTGATTTCAACCTTGTCCAGGCAATAAGGGAAGACCAAGTGTAGAAGATACAGGGTGATAAGCGAAGCCTTACTTGAATGAAACTCCAAATCTGCTCACTAAACCCACAACGAAGCAGCAAGTGGTCTCTTGATTCCTCATACTCTGAACACAAACAGCAAGCAGAAGAAATAGGCAAACCCCAAGCGACAAGTCTGGTTCTTGTCGGTAATCTGTCTAGCTGAGCAACCCACATAGTGAAAGCATTCCTCGGAGTGGCTCCTTTAAACCAAACAGAGGAAGTCCACTCTTTCGGAGAGTTTCTCGGCCTGAGGAAATCCCAAGTTTTAGCAGTTGAAAACTTTTGGGATCTGTGGTCTCCAACAACCCAACTATATAAGTCACTCTCTGAAGAATATAAGGGCGTTGGAATAGAATAAAGATGGGCGTGGAGACTCATAGCATTTATGGACCTCGGGGGCGCCATCTTCCAGCCATTTGCATCACAGGCCGCTGCAACCGTGGATTGAATGGGAATTCGTAAATCTCTTGGACCATTTTCACCCAGAAACTTGATTAGAGGGCCAAGAGGTGTCCAATTATCAAACCAGAAACTTGCTTTTTGACCATTGCCAATTTTGCATTCAACAAAGGGCTCAGCAGTAGTTCGTAGATTGAGAAGGCATTTCCAATTCCAAGAATTTTCAGCAGAAGCAGAGATAGACCAGAAGCTTTTATCTCTGATGTGGTGATGATGATGCCATGCAACCCAAAGAGAGCCGCTTTCAGAGAACAGCAACCACACTAATTTCAGACATAACGTGGAGTTCCATAACATTGGACCAACCTTACGTAGCCTGTTATGTTCCAAACAAATTTCTATGTATTACGATTTGATCTGATTTTTTTTGTTTCGCGGAGTCGTCTAAAACTATTAAGCGCTAGCTGGTAAAACGTACTTGAAATTATAATAACGAAAAACAGTAATTCCAAATAAATAATGAAATTTTTACCAAAAAAATAAATAATACAAATTTAATTTCTTAATAGTTATTTTCAAGAAGATAATATAAGATAGAAATAAACCAATCACAAAAGCAAAATAAACTTTTTAAGCTATATTCAAGACAAATATGAAATATGTATGACTTATTGAAAAAGTATTAACATATGCATATCTCTGAAACATGAATCAAAGTATAACCCAAAAAAGATTAACTTTCTTAATCATAGTTGTCTTCCTAAATATGAAAGTTTTGTTCGCTGATCTTTAAAGAAACATCAATAACACTAGATTTACACACCATGTAAATATATATACTGTTTTCCGGCCGATTCTCTTTTTAAAACAAAAACTTCGTGGAAGCCCCCTTGCCCCATTGGTTGACCAAGGGTTGATTAATGCTTCTACACCAAGAGGTCTGGGGTTCGAGTCCCAGATATTGCGATTTATTAACAAATTTGCAGATTATTGGAGGCAAGTGTGCAGGAGAAGTCCAGCGATGTACAATTATAGCCGTTCGCCAGGATTCTACGCAGAGAATGAAGTGTCGCCAGGTCGTGGATCATTGAAGGTATTCATCAAGATCATGAAGAGGGAAGTGTAGTCTGTCATAGATCTAGTAAGGGTTGAAAGGAATTGTCAGTTTGTAGAATCGTCTATGTAACAGTTCTCATAATTTGCAATTAATAATAAATCTAGACGACAAAAAAAAAAAAAAAAAAACTCCAGAATTAACTACACATTTCCTTATAAAAAAAGAATATTTAATATTTTATTCTTCTTTTTCAATATACAAATAAATAACTACGTATACAAAATCCAATACAATACTATTTTCTTTTTTCGGTAGAAATAAATCTATATATAATCTCGAAATTATATGGAAAATTAGTTGAATAAAATAAAGAAAATTGTTTATATTGATTTCTTCAGGATTTCTTATTTGGATATAAAGTTATTTATAATTTCATAAGCACGTAAAAATTCATATACAAAATTTCTAAGCAAAAAAAAGAATTTTGGTATGAGTCAGATAGGACTGCCGAAGAAAAATATGCACAACTTCCTCGAACATGGCCCGAAAAGAATGATTCTTTTAGTATAATTAAAATAATTTACTATGTCAACTCAAATATGATCATTCGGATTAGCAATGTGTGATTTTCTTTGATAATATCATTTTGCAGACACTTGAACCAGATTTCTGCATAAATTTAAAAAACTTTTGTCTAAAACATGCTTAATGTGATCATGTAATCCAGCAAGGAATTTGGTGAGACTCGTCTGCCATTTTGTTATAATTCTCTGGATACGTAATTTTTTAATCATCTGGTCTGAGATGCGACAAGAGGAGAAAATTAGGTTATCCCGTAATTTTTTAATCACCCACTCTATCTATGGACCATATAAATAAGTTAAATTAGTTTATAATATATTATATTATTTAACATGCAAGTAGATAGATGGAAATCAAATCAATATGTTTAAAGATTCTAGACGAAGCTTACAGTTCGGTTCGAGTGACGCTTGAGACGAAACTAATATACATGTTGTGGTTTCGGGTTTGGGGGGGTTATGGGCTTTGGCCCAAAATCTCCTGATATTCAAAAAAAATAAAAATAATATGAAATAACAAAAAAAATATTGTTTTAGCGTTGTCTCAACTTAAGTTCTCGAATTCGTTGTGTGACTTATCATTTATCAAGCATAGAACATACTCGAACTCGACTGATTAGATTGATATGTAGGTTTAAAAAAGAGTGGTAAATAGTTCTCCCCATGGAGGATGTGAAGCATGTCAAAGGAAATTAAATAAGAAAATTCATCAATTATTGTATTTTAGGCTTTGAACACAAAAAAAAATGTGTATATAGTATTAGGAATATGCACATGTTCGATTGTTTGTTCTCATTATTTGACTTTGTTTGGTCATTTCTCATTGTAATAGCACGAGCGAGTGAAAAACCGAAGAAAAATGTGTAGCCCTCAAATTTTGAACATAGTTAAAACCTGCATCGACAAATGGACATATCTTTCAAACTGAAGAAGAATTACTATAAATTGCGCATCATTTTATTTCTTGCTCTTTTTTCGGTTCGATTTCGAGAGTTCTTCTTTGGTTTGACAACATTTTAGTTTCTGATTTATAATTTCATCTTGAAATCCAATGTAGATCAAAAATTACTAATGTAAGATTTCTTTGATGTTTTTAAATAAGAAACAAATATTCTTTTGACAAAAAAGATGACATACTATTAGGACAAATACTATATATATATTACACACATTCACGCGTATAAGTAACATGAATTAATGTGATTTTTGAGAATAAAAGCGGAAACAAATAGCAGATTATTACTTTAAAAATCTGAATGAGGAAATTCATTTAAAATGGATACAGTACAAGGAGTACAAGAAACACTTATTCGATTAACAACAGAGAATAGATTAAAAGAATAGTAATAAAAGATAGACATCAAAAGATCGATTAACCATTATAACCAATCGAAGGGTGGGTAGATAGATCAAGCACATACGAATTTAGAAGGAACCTTCCTGCCACAAACATTGAGAAGAAGGCTGAGAGAGACAGGAACATTAAGCTTAGTGCCTAAAACATTAGCCTTTAGGGCTGTGCAGAGACAAGCCGCAGCCTCAAGATCAACCAGACCCTTGAGTAGGGAGCAGCAAGGCTTGACTGGGGGTGTGCCCAACTGGATTTTGAGAAGATCCTTGAGGACATTGGCGCAAACGCCAAGTTTGAGAGTATCTCTTGGGCAGCTTCCGGTGGACTTGGGCTTAGGCTTGGGTTTAGGGGTTGGACTGCAGCCACCACCACATGCGGTGGTCAAGGTGAAGAAGAGGATGTTGAATGTGAGGAAAATGACAAGGGAGGCTGAGATTTTTGAAGCCATCTCTCGAAATATGTATATTTCTATTTTAGGTAAGAAGTTTTAAGATAAGAGTGTTGCTAAAAGAGAGTGGTGAAGATAAATGAAGAGAGGGTGTATGTATATATATTAGGGTTTCAAGGGGTTGTACAGTTAATTAAAGCTGTCATTGCTAAATGATTTTGAGGAATTATTAGACGAATATATATTTTAGTAACAATAGTCAGTGGATCTTTGTATTATTAAGTGGTTAATATTTATTTCATTTTTTTATTACATTGTGAAACAAATGTTCAATCATGGATAGAAGCAATTTACTAAATTAAGACCCTATTGTGCTGTCATAATTTTTTTTCTTTTTCGAAAGTTTATTAGTTGAGTAGTTATAAATATCTTCGTTTCTCATCTATACAGAGTACAGTTTCAAAAGATACAAAAAAAAAAGTAAGATTCTAGAACAGTCGACAATACTTTTCGTTTGTTGAATTTGTAAAACAATCGAATATTTTAATCTTAGCTTAAATTCATATTCGTCGGCTAGCTGTATATTATTTTTCACAGTTTATAATTTGTGTTTTTGATTTATCTACCCGAATTAGTATTTTTGCGTAACTTACTTATAGAGTACTTTTATAGACTATCGACTCATATTTTATGTTAGTCCATGTAATACACTTTATTTTGGTCGACTTGATTACCATTTTGGTCGACTTGATTACCATTTATTTTGGGCTATCTATTGAATTCAGGTAAATCGAAAACATAAACACGAATTGCTCGTTAGAAGTGTTCATTAATTAAAAATTAGTTTCGACTATGAAAAATATATATACCTTTTTATATATCCGAAACTTTCAGATTATAAGAAAATCAAACTATAATCGATGCACATGTGATCAATAATTACTCATATTTCCCATGTGTAGACCCGAATGTGATTTACAGGCTTTAGCTGGCGATTGTGTTTGGAGATTAGTAATTTGGAAGTGTATGACTACATTAGTCTGGCTTTCAAAATTTCTTTAATTGGCTTTACCCTTCACATTTTTTTTTTTGGAAATTAGCAACTATAGCAAGAAAAAACAACAACTATAATTCATCAAAGGGTAACAACAATAGAATTCTTATGACAAATAGCTTTGGGTACTTTGACACACTAACATCAGGTTTAAATCAACATGGAATAAACCATTAATCATTATTCTAATTAAGTGTTCACATTTTATTAACCCTTGGTAGTTTTTTCGAGGAGCTAATTTACAAAATAGAGATTTCTTCTTTTGGCGAATTCTGTCTTTGTTAAGAAAGGAAGAGAGATATTACAGTTTTCCATGAATTATATAGTTTCTATGGAAAAGTAAAAATATATATATACAAAAAAACTATACTGGAACCCTTAAATTTTTTGAATCATGTTATTAGTGATCAAACAGTTTGGATGGCAGCTCAGCTTAGCCCAAATAAGGATATCAATGAAATATTTAATCTGAATAGGAATTATCGTTCTTTAAGATGTCAAGGTCATCGTTCGTGGAAACTATAACGCCTCGACCGTCATCATATGTCGTCCCATGCTTTCTTTCGACCCGTAGATTCCACTCTTGTCCGACAGTCAGTGTATTATTTTAAGAAATCCGAAAGAATTCTTATTGTCCATACATATCACTACTATATATTTTTGTATTTCATCCTCATTCACGTAGTACCCAAAATTAGTTTTTGGTAGGTCAAGCATTTTGAAATCGATGTACTCAAACACGCTTAAGTGAAAATCTGTAAACATGATTAGTGAAAAAGATAAGTGCACTAAGTTGGTTGCCAAATCAATTTTAAGTTTTCGTATGCACCACCATATTTTAAAAAAAATAGGGGTGTTACAACCACCTCGCTTGTCATTATTGTGTACCAAGAGTGTAACTCCAAGGGTGTCAATATGCATGTCTCCACACTCGTCCGGGTTAGGCTTTAATACCCATTTTTGTTTGCTAACCTTATGTTTCTCTCCATGCCCTCTCTCTCGGCCCGTGGACCCCATCTTTATCCAACGAGAGCCCTTGAAAGACATGTTTGATGTTCATCCTCACTCATATGGTATTTGAAATCATTTTTCGTGAGATACATATCCTAAAGATCGCTACAGTTCAAACACGCTTAGCTCTAAAATTCTGTTAGAATGATTGACAGAAAAGATATGTATAATTTGGTGTCATAGATAATCAATCAATTCTTTTAAGTTTTTTCGCATGGACCACAATATTTTCATAAATCGGGATATTACATTAATCTTTTGATCACACATCTGGTGTTGGATTGGTGGAGAAAGTAAAACTTTGAACAGTTTCAGAAACCATAGTTTGCATTTCAAAATCAATATAACAATAAATGGATTGATTGATATATTGTATATACCATTTTTTGTCCCCAGTCATTTCCGTTTTGAGATTTGATATTAGTATATAAGGAACATGTATGAATCTATTTATTGTCAAATAATTTTGAATTGAAAATTCATGATTCGATGCTCGTACAGTTTTAGAGTCTAACAAACCAAATGGATAAAAATCCCACATTAGAAATGAGTATTCATGACCACTAGTAGACAAAGAATATTAGTTAATCAATTTACTACCAACTAGGTTTGCAATTATTGTTTATTTGGATCTTCAGATATTTCATACTGTCTATAATTTTATTTATTAAATAAAATTCTTATATTTTTTACAACTATTTAAGTATTGTTAATTATTATAAAAATAATTCCAGGGTTAAACTTTTCAAGTATGTATGTATATTTCAATGGATAGATTAGGTAGACAGAGACTCGTGCTCTTTTGTTCGTTAGAATAAAATAAATTATTGTGATACTTTCTGAGGAGATGCCGAAACAAGAAACAGATTATGATTATACTTTAAGAATCTTATTTTTGAGCTAATTAATTTAAAATGTAAACAGTACAAGAAGTAGAAGCAACACTTATACGATGAACAACTGAAAAAAGGAGAATTCAAAGAATCTTAATCAAAGATAAAACATTAAAAGATAAGTTAAAAATATAACCAAGGTGGATAGATAAATCAAGCACATACGAATCCAGAAGGAACCTTCCTGCCACAAACATTGAGAAGAAGGCTGAGAGAGACTGGAACATTAAGCTTATTGCCTAAGACATTAGCCTTTAGGGCGGTGCAGAGACAAGCCGCAGCCTCAAGATCAACCAGACCCTTAAGGAGGGAGCAGCAAGGCTTGACTGGTGGTGTGCCCAACTGGATTTTGAGAAGATCCTTGAGGACATTGGCGCAAACACCAAGCTTGAGAGTGTCTCTTGGGCAGCTTCCGGTGGACTTGGGCTTAGGCTTGGGTTTAGGGGTTGGACTGCTGCAGCCACTGCCACATGCGGTGGTCAAGGTGAAGAAGAGGATGTTGAATGTGAGGAAAATGACAAGGGATGCTGAGGTTTTTGAAGCCATCTTTCGAAATATGTATATTTCTATTTTAGGTAAGAAGTTTTAAGATAAGAGTGTTGCTAAAAGAGAGTGGTGAAGATAAATGAAGAGATGATGTATGTATATATAGGGTTTTATAAGGGGTTGGACAGTTAATTAAAGCTGTCATTACTAAATAGTTTTTAAGGAATTATTAGACGAATTTATATATTAGTAATAGTAGCCTTTGTATCTTTGTATTATTAGGTGGTTAAGATATTTTTCATTTTTTATTACATTGTGAAACAAATGTTCAATCATGGAGTTATAATAAACACCATATTTCTGTCATATTTTTATTTTTCAAAAGTTTATTAGTCGAGTAGTTAAAACTTTTTTCGTTTTATGTTCCGATACAAAATACTTTCAAAAGATAGCAAAAGATACATGCATGTTTTTTTTTTTTAATAAACCCTATCGACTGATCCGGTCAGTCTAGGTAGAAACGCACTGAAGTGCTTTAGAGTGGACTTCTTCTCGAAAGGCCACCACACTGTCTGTCCCGAGTTTGGAATGCTTTCCGACTAATGGCAGAGGTAGCCAGATCGCCTGTTACTGACTACCAGGTAAACTGCTTGGACCTTTTGGCCCAAACCCAGACTTTCCACACAAATGTATTTTTTTGTTTTAAGGATGGATCGAATATGGATTAGTTCCTTTCAACTTTTCCCCAATTTTCAACCACCACTAGACATGTTTCTTTAATTACGTTAAACTAGTAATTAGAATCGATGCACATGTGTTCAATAATTACTCATAATCCCCATGTGTATCCCCGTAAGTGATTCAGGCTTTTTACCTGGCGATTGTGTTTGAAGATTAGTAATTTGGAATATTTGTGACCACAAATCAAGTCTGGCTATCACAATTTTATTGGCTTTATCCTTCACGTTTTATCATTCAAAACCCATAATTTCCCACATTTACATTACTGATCCAGATTTAAAATCTAAATTATGGAGTTACAAATCATTGTTGTAATGATCGATCTACTTCAGTATCAACAATCTACAATACGAGTTACACTCGAAAATAAAACTACTCTCAGTCTCTCACCCTTTTCATACTTTTGGATAAAAAATGGGAGAGGTTATAAGAATAAACCAACACGTCTCTATTAGCATTTCATACAAGGTTGATGAGACAAGTAGTACATGGTCGTCTTGTTCCACCTTGCATATTTACTCAATTGCAATGATTCGTTTTTTTTTTTTTTTTTTTTTGGAACAAACTGCAATAGTCCGTTTCTGATCCAAATATTCTCGTGTAATTTTGTTGAATTGTGGAGTCTAATTTTAATAATGTTGTCAAGTAGATTGACGCTCATGATCGATTTAGGGGACTAGGTTGTCATGGGTTGGAACTTGGAAGTATATAATGATATGCAAGTGAACATTGATCTCTTTTATTATTTTAATTTCTTTATTTGCCACTTTGGTTTGATGTTAGATTAAAAAGACAGAAAAAAAAAAAAAGAAAAAAAAAAAGAGAGGTTTTTAGCAACGATATTTTCGTTCTTAGTTAAAGTTATTAGTTGGCACAAGTACGTATGAATTCTTCTCAACCAAAACAAGAGAAAAGAAAAAAGACATTAATGGTAGAAAGAAAAAAACACTAATACATAAGTAAACAACATTTTTCAGGAATTGTTCTTTTAAGCTCTAAGTAATTTCGGATCACAAAAAAAAAACATTAATAGTGAGAACTAAAAATTGTTTGAACAGTATTATTTTGTTGGCTGATCCTTCGTCAATTTGCGATCGGTTGGAATACCATATATTTTAAATTACTAGTTCTTTTCTAATTTGTAATTTTATAAACTGAAGTTAATTTTAAATTAGACGTTTTAGGTGGTGAGTTCAGACAAGTAAACTATAAGTTTTTTTTGTTCGCAAACAATTAAGCTATAAGTATCATATATATTTTTGAATTTTTCCCTTCACAATATTTCCTTTTGACACAATTATGTATTGTGTTTTGAAAAGTACAATATATGTATCACATCAACATACAAGTCTTAATCTTATTCGTTAATTGCTTAGACATGAATTTAGGTTTGAATTTTGATGCCAGACAAAACCAATACAAGAACATACATAGAAAATATGAATATATTGTAGCTATGTTGGGCAACGGAATCCATCGGGAAGGGTACCTCCACAGGCGTTAAGGGCCAAGTTAAGATGAATAGGAGTGTCGATGGTGATGCCAAGAAGGCTGAGCTTCAGCGCGGTGCAAAGGCAAACCACAACATCGAGATCAATTAGACCAAAGAGAATAGAGCAACAAGGTCTCATAGCTCGTGCCCCGAGATTCAAGTTAATGAGGTTGAGAACATTCGCGCATGTGGAAAGTTTGAGAGCGTCTCTGGGGCAAGTATTTTCTGCGAAAACCGGGATAATGAGGTTGAGGAAGAGAATATTGATAACAAGGAATAAAGCAAGTGTAGTTGAGGTCTTTGGAGCCATAATCATCCCGATCTTGTGTTTTCTATCTTTCTATATGTTATATGGGTATGTTTGTTACTTTGAGCTATGTAGCATATATAAATATATATGACGACGGGAGATTTCTGGTATTTATAGTGTTTGAAATATTCGTTTGTTTGATTATTAATAAAGTGATTTAGAGATTTGCTTATCTAATGATTAATTGATTGTTGCGGAAGGTTTAGTACTATTAGGGTAATGAATTTAGGTATTTTTAATTTGGATAAAGTACGTAAAGTTATTATTAAAAATTTAAAATTAGATTTATATATGATGGTCCCTAATCTAGATATAATAAAGTAGTGCCTATATAGTCAATCTTAGTAGAAATATATCATGTATGTACATATAATATTGTTCGGTCGAAAATTCCCTAGAATGCAGAGACATGTGAAAATTTAAATCGAGTTAGGTTTTCTTGTTCAGTTGGAGACAAGTTTCCACTTGAAAATAACAATGTTTGTTTTCTTTGTTTTATAGACCTACTAATACTATCAACAAATGAGATAGTAGTTATAGTTATACCTTTAAAACGCCTAACTATTAAGGATAATAATAATAAGTGGAAGAATTGTTTTTCTAGCAGTTGTTTTAAGAAAATATATATAAAACTTTAGGTGAGGTATGAGGTTCAAATTAGTTCATATATCGTCGTTGACCCAACATTTGGCATTCTCTTACGTTAATAAGAGTTGTGTACGTTTTCTTAGTTTAGAGCCACAAGCTCACAAATGCACACTTTTGGTTGGATTCGGGTTACAAGTTCCGGTAAGAGCCTTTTGGTTTGGTGCTAATTAATCATTTAAAAAAGTTAAGACAAGGAGTTGTTTGATGTTTTATCAACTGAAATCTGAAGAAGAGTGATGAAAAATGAAAATCCAAGAAAATACCAAATTGATTCGCTAAACATATCTACAACTAGAAGCCGTTTTCAACCACATAATGCAAATAAACACAATTTTCAACTAGCAAACAATGTTTGTTTTCTCTTGTCGGATTAATGGGTCTGTCTCGAATTAATCATCTCAGTCACGGTAAGTAAACGCGATTTTTGAGGTTTAAAACGAATTTGTTAGTAATTATAATATTTTGAAGATTTTAAAGAATTTGTGTTGTAAATTGAAGAACACGTTAGTTTGCGTTGAGTAGTGAATAGTGATGAGTAGACATGAGCATTCGGTTTTCGGATTGGTTCGGGCTTTGGGTAGGGAAGTTTAGGAACTGAAACTCTTGTTGGGTTTGTGTTGATTCTTCAAATTAAAGTGAAACCCGACTTAGAACCGGAACATATTTTGGTTCAGTTTTTGAACCCGAAATACCAGATAAATCCAAATTACTCGAAAATATTTCAATGCCAAGTAAAATTCATTTTTCCTCGCCATAAATATTTTTCCTTGCTTTCCAATCTTCTTAACTAAAGAGAAAATTTGAATATAAACATTATCATACATACTAAAATGAAACAAATACTAAACTGTTCAATGCCATAGTAACGTAAGAATAAGATATATAAGGCTCATATCATGTGGATATATATTTTTGGCTTTTACGGATATCTGTTCAAGTTATGGATTTTTGTTAATATTCGTTCGAGTTTTGGGTCCAAGGTAAACTGAACAGAAAACCTAAACAAATTTATTTAGGATCCGTTCGGATAATATTGGCTATATGAAACAAAACAGAACCTCCTTTCATATCGGTTCAGGTCGGGGTTTTCAGGTTCGGTTTATATGCCCATGCCTACATTATTGGGGTATAATTTAGGTCCAATTGTTGGGGTAGTATAGCAAAGTCACCCTAATAGTTTAGTTTATTTTATCTACATTGATTTCAATCTTAAATCTTCAAAATTTCACTATTCAATTCTCTTTTGTTCATTTCATTCTATTTCCACTCATTTCTATTGTCTTCTAAACAAGCCACAATATAGTAAAAGAAATATTGAACAATAAAATTGGCAAAATTACAAACAAAGAAGTTTATTCTTGACTTTTTTTTTTTTTTTTTTGAACGATATTCTTGACTTTTCATATAGTGTGCTTTGATCATAAATTTAACTCCTGATTTTCCTCATTGCCACTCACTTCCTCTAACATTTCCATGAACTCTTTCTGCTTATTTCCTCTCATCGTTGTTGTTGTCATCGAACTAAACCGACTATCATGAATTGATGCTTCTTCAAATCTTGTCCATAGCTCTTTCTTCAAAGTATTCTCACCTGCTTTTGTCATTATGCTCTCTGGTTCTTTAAACAATGGAGTACTCTCAACCACCATTGACATGTTTCGGTCTAAGAAACACACAAAAGAAAGTTAAAAGATCATCGATATGGAGTATTCATAAGACTCAATGAAATGACCGAAACATCAACTTTTTTATACCTGTAGTGTGTTTTGCTTCTGGATTAATGTTTGGCAGATCAAATGAGGATACCATTCTGGATCCACCAGTTTCATCAATTGGTTTCTTCTCATTCACAGGCTCCATTAAAACACATGTTTTAGGAGGAGAAAACCACCAAACCGGCGAAGACTCAAGATCCGTTTTTCTTGTAATTGGAGCATGTTGCATTCCCAAGAGCTCAGGATACTTCGAACAGAGATTGTCTGTTGTTTCAATACCAGAGGATCCAGAGCTCTGTGAACCATTAGAAGTGCTAGCTCCCAATTCAGAGCAGGTAGACTTACAAGCCCCATGCTTTCCCAGTTGAGAAGATTCAGGAACCGGTTTAAACATTGTACAAGATTTCGGAGGCGACATCTTCAAGCAAGGTGTCATTAGAAGCTCAGACTGAACTTTTCTCCTGAGAACTGGTGAAGAAAATGGCTCATACTCTACCAAATTCTTAGAGAAATCCATGTCATGGCCTAAAGAGTTACCAAATCCTGCAGTTTTCATCGACTTACCTCCTAAAACATCATCACTTGTTTCTTTAGAAGCTTCAAGCGATTTATTTGCAGTAGCGTCTGGGAAAATCCTTTTAGCTGTCAGCTTAGACGCATTCTGATGTTTAAGGAATTCAGATTTTCCTAAAGGTAGTGGTGTCAAAAGAAAGAGTTGTCTACCCTTGTCTGTGTTATGATCACCACGCCAATGCACGAGAGGAGAAGGAGAGACTAAGGGCTCAAATTGAGTAGGCTCAGGACTCTCAACATCAAACAAATCTTCTTCTTCGTTTGTGTTCATCAAAGACTGTTCTTCCTGATCCTCCGGAAGCAACTGAAAATCAGACATCGCTTCTTCCAATCGAGGAAACCATGGCTGCATATTTTAAAACATGTTAAAATCCTAAAGCAAAATGGTCAAACAGTAGAAGGAAACAAAAGGAATGAAACCTTTAGTGAGGAAAGCATATCAGACAACACAAATCTGAAAGATTCAACTTCTCTTAACCCGTGTTTGCTTACGGTCTTTCGCTTTGTGGCTTCAACAACAAGCTCATCAATCTGAAATCCCCAAAACATAGAAGAATGAAACATAATTCCTTAACTAATACCAAACAAGTTCTCAGATAAACTATCTAATATCTCCAGCTAAGAGTAGCAAGTACCTGGAGAAGAACAGATCTAATATCAGAATGTACAAGGAAGAGTTGATCCAGTTCAAAATCATTGCCACCACCTCCATGATCTTCTTCTTCTATATGTTTCATTCCTCTAACAAAATCATCTCTTCTGCTTATATAAGGTTCCATTTTACACTACGAAATGTTGGTTTCTGTGAAAATCTGGATCTGGAGAATCGTAAACAAACAAACAAAAAGCATTACTATCTAGATATCGGGCTATTCTTCAATTGAGAAACCAAATTCTCCAGATTTGCGAAGAACAGTGAGAAAGAGAGTACCAAAAATCTTGTAACGATTTCGAAATTGAAATTGAAAACGATGATAGAGATAGAAGAGAAAGGACCTGCTTAAACGGAGAATTAGGTCAAGAAGATGTTGAGATAACCGGTATGGTTTCCGGTCGACGGAGATTGTGGTCGATTTCAATTGCACCGTCGTTAGGGTTTTCTAGAAGAAGAGGAAGGGCGGGATTTGTGTGTTTTCGAATTTGGGGTTTGAAGTTTTTGGAGAAGATGAAAGAGTGTGATGTACAGAGAGAAATTGACGAAATAAAAGATTTTTACTTTTTTAGTATAAAAAAATCATATATTAGTAAATTAGGCTGAAATTTAAAATGGGCTATAGTTGTCAATGAAGCCCAATAATATGGATGTTGTAGCTTAGGGGCGTATTGAATAATGAATTTAGAGTCATTTGAGTTTTATTGAGTTTTGAGATGATTTTGGTGAATTTTAGAGGGGTTTATTGGATCATTCACTACAAAAAAGGCGCCCTTTAACGTCATTCATTTTGAAGGTTAACGTCGGTATTTAACTGACTTAATTATTATGGCGTCAGTTTTTAAAGCGACGTGTTATCCTCCGACGTTAAAATAATTAACTTCGGTTACAGAAACGACGTGAACTTTAACGACACAAAGTTAACGTCAGTTTTCTAATAATTAACGTCAGTTATAAACCGACGCCATTGAAATAGTTAATGTCACTAAATAAACCGACGCTATGTGCCTTTGGTTTTATTGCCAGTTTATTTTTTTTTTTTTTCCAGCTAAAAACCTTTTCACTAATTTGAAAGTGTAATTACAGAGATGTTATACAGAATTACTGTAACACAAATTATTACATACGCAAATGTATGCGCCATATACTGAGAAAAATACCTCAGAAGGGAATTTGACGATGCTTTCTGAAGAATAGACTTACTCGCTAACCGATCATCAGATCCGTGATTATCCAACTTCATATTTGCTTTTCCCTGACACGATTTGAATGCAGCATCACTTGGCTGAACTTTCTTTTTACTAACCGCAGCTTTAAACCCGATGTGTATATATGTAACTCTGAAATATAGACAAAATGGTACCAAAACTTCCGTACCAAAGTCCTTATGATATATATCGACTCTGTACTCTTCTTCCACAAAATCACTTAGCTTTTTGCCGGCGAGATTCTTCAATATTATCATCCGTGTCTCCTTCGTCCCAAAAGTTTGAGAAATCGGTTCTAGTTTCTCCATATATGTGACGTGAATTATGCTATTGCCTCTCATAAACTTTGGAATAATCTCTTTATTGCCAGTTTATTATATTTATTTATTAGTATATAAATTAAAATCGGAAGATACTTAAAATTAAGAAAGACAAATGCCCCATATAGAAAATTTCTTTCATAAATATTTAATGTTTTACATGAACTTTGTCCTAAAAAATATGAAAATCCTTGAAAACAATTCACAATATGCCCATTATCTGTTCTTCAAAGTTTCAAACTGTCGTCTCTGAAAGTCTTAGGTTATTTACCTGAAATCAAATGTAAATTACAAAATCAGATTATAGAATTTTTAAGTAAAAACATGTTATTAAAAGAAAATATAATCTATAACTTGATAACTAGAGAGATTTTAGAAGCTTTTATTACAAGAACAAAATAGTTTATCATCATCAATACTCTGAAATATTTGCTTCTCGTAAGCTTGTAAAAAATGTAAGAAAACCAAAGTTATCAAAAGTATCGGGAAATGACCAACTTACATCTGCATTCGGATTGGAGACAAGCACTGTATATGATTTTGGCGATATCTTGACTAATCTAGACCAAAAGAGTTGCTAAAAATTTGGAAGCCATTAAGACACTATAAAAGGATACAAAAAAATATGGAAGTCATGGCACATGATCCATACCTAGAATCGTTGTTGTAATTTACTTGCAAGCTTGCAGCTCCTCAAGGCTGAAAATGATATACATGTCAATACTAACAACACTAGAGCAAAACAAAAAGAGTAGAAAGTAACAAATAACAAAGTCTTTGCCATCACAATGAAGCTGATATGAATTAATAGATAACAAATAACAAAGTCTTTGCCATCACAATATGGAATATATAGATAGGAATTTTTCTTACCCTTAAGGATTTTGAATCAATCACGACTGAGAATGTTGCCATCACAATGAAGCTGATAGCTAAAAGGAAAGTCTGAACAAATAAAAAAGACAAGAAAGTAGGATTGAGTCAAAAGTATGGTAATCCAACCGGAAGGGTCGTTTTGAGTATGACGATTGCAATTCAAGTAAAACAGAGTAATGTTTTATAAAACCAACCAAAAAAAAATCAAATTTTGTTTCTTCATACCTTCTAATCCCATACCAACATATGAAAACAATGTAGTAAGCCATATTTCCGGAAGACAGAAGTCCTCTTCTCACCTTTCATGGAAAGCATCACAACACATTTGAATTCCACACATTTGTGTTATCATTGATCAAAACTCAGGAAATGCATCTCTTCCTGAAATGTATGTAAATGATCCAAATTAGTTTTTCACCTAACTATCAATGCGATGAGTCAAACTTAGATAGAGAGAGATCGAAACAAACTGAAATATGAAAATAAGAAATACCATAAACTCAATTTCAGATTCGTCTCCAAAACCTACCGAGAAACATTTGTAAGAATCCTATTCAACGAAATTCATAATCCTTGTTAAAATCAAGCAATTTCATCCGAAACACAACACATTTCTAAGAAATTTCTATGATACTAACCTTTCTGAGCGATTAGACAAAAAGAGAGATTGAGAGCTGAAGAAAACCACAAAATCAAGTTGAGATACGATTATACGTTTCGATATGAATCAGAGATGCAGAGCGACGAGAATTGGAGAAGGAGAGCGACGACGAAGAATCGGAGCTGCAGAGCGAAGAGAATCAGAGATGCAGAGCGTGGAGAATCGGAGATGGAGAGCGACGGCGAAGAATTGGAGATGGAGAACGACGACGAAGAATTTTGACCTGGAAAATTCAGAAAAGGGGATAATCTCACATGAATACGCGTTAAAACTAATCTGCGAAATTATCTAGATAACTAATAAACGAAATAATAAATTACTACTTTAACGGCGTTTAATAAAACGACGCTAAATGACCGCTTATTTTTACGTTTTAAGTCGGTTCCGAAAACGACGTTAAAAAAATGACGTATCCTACCGTATTTGTTGTAGTGATTGATTTGAATGGAATTAGAAATCCAAGTAAAATCATGTGTTATTCAATCATTGATTTTAAAATCTTTATAAAAATTAAGGGGGTGTTATTGGTTTATTAATTTGTAAATCCATATAGAATTTGAAAATTTCTATGAATTATGAAATTAAGATATATGGATTTTGAAATAACATGTGTTTACCCATGGATTTGAATCCTTCTATTTTTCTCTTTCAATTCCATTCAAATCCATTTAAAACATAATTTGGATTCTCAAATCCAAAAACAAATGACTAAACGAATAACATATGATTTTAACTAGTATTTATAAATTATAGAACCAATAACACATGATTTTAATTAGGATTTTAAAATCAATGATTGAATAACAAATGATTTTTGTATGGATTTCTAATTCCTTATAAATCAATGAACCAATAACCCCTCCTAAGTGTTATTGGTTCTATGATTTACAAATACTAATTAAAATCACCCCTTATTCAATATTGAAGATTTGAGTATGGATTTGATTTCATATTGGATTTGAAAATCTGTTTTAGTTATAAAGAGAGAGATTGAAATCCTTGGGTTCCACCTAGTTATTTGGGTGGATTTGAAAAACAAAAAAATATTAGTAGTTTTTATTTTCCATAATGCAAGTATTACGTAGAGCAATGTTTTGAATATCAAAAAGAAAAAAAACTGCTAATACAAAAATCACGAAACATCTTCGTATAATACTTTCAAGCATATCGATAACAAAACAAAACTGCTAATACCAAAGATCATTAACACCTTCATATAAAAGTATATTTTATCAATATAATAAAAATCAAAAATACTAGAAAACAAAGGGAGGTTTTCGAAACCAAACAAGACCAGAGGAAAAATTCTAGAAAACCAACAATACTAGAAAACAAAAAAAATAATTAATCTAGCATTCCATAATGTTACGCTTAATCCAACCATGACGTTCATTAGTGGACATACTAACAAAGACTTCTTTCATTCCTAATTGGTGAATCACTTTAACCGCTTCGTAATGAACGGTTTTTTTTCAAATTATGGACTTCTTTGATATCTTCCCATATGTGTTGAGAGAACACTCAGTGGAGAGAAACAAGAGCATCAAACATGTGGAGTGATTCAATTCAGAGTTCATAGACAAGAACATGATAGGTTATTTTGTTTCTCATAAAAATTTTCATGTTTTAATTCTATAATCTCTTTTCTATGATTTTCAAATCCATTTTATTTGACTCTAAAATCAACTTTATTTGATTTTCAAATCCACATTGTTTGATTTTAAAATCAGTAGATTATGTGTGAATTTCCAAATGTTATAAGGATTTCTAATTCTATTCAAATCAATGATCCAATAACCCCTCCTTAGTGAATTAGGAAATTTGTTATTAAATTTTCTTAAATCTCACCTAAAGCCACAGGATTTGTATCTTTGTATTTTTAATTAGTAAATTTTTTGAAATCTCATCTAAAGTCACTCAAATGACTTCAAATCAACTACTTTAAATATTTTCAATAACAGTGGATTTGATTACATATTTTAAAATTACTAATCCAATAACACTTGATTTTAGAAAACTTTTTAAAATTCATGTTTGAATAACATATGATTTTCATTTTAATAGAAATCACTCCAAATCCTTTATTCCAATACACCCCTTTATATATTGTTCAATTCGTGCTCACGGTAAAAGCTGTCTTTTTTTAATTAACTAAGAGTTTAAGAGAGTCTGACTCTGAATTCATATTTTTACTGCATTATACTTTTTACCACAATAAAAATTTACAATAGTATACTTTTTATTTTTTTCCACAATGGTAAGGGATATATAACAAATCATACACTATGTATATTGAACAATAGAAAATATCAGTTTTCGAAATTTTAGAAAAGAAAAAAAAAAGTTGTGGATATCTTTCTTCAGTCAAATACATTTACCACTCAGTTTTAAAATACAATTTATTGTATAAATATTTATGACATTTCAAAATTTTAGTGTTCCTTTTTAACATTTCTTAATATCATTGGAAATCTATTTTAAATGATAAATGAAATATAATAAATTTCGTGAATTATATCTTTTATTATATTGCTATTTTTTCCCATCATTTCCTAATGTTTTCAATTGTGTCAGCATCTCTCGTTAATAATTATTGTTTACGTCGATTTTTGTCACCGTATATATATATATATATATATATATATATATATATATATATATATATATATATTAGTCATGAATGTTTGAGAGTTTTAAAGTGGTTTTTAGATTTTCAATATATTTTTTTGGATTTTGAAATATATATATATATAAAGGTTTCAACGCAAACAATTTAAAAACTCACTCTAATAGGATTTTGGATTATGTTAAAAAAAATGTAAAATATTTCAAAATCTAACTTCTCTATTTCTTTAGGAAGCCCACTTTTCAAAACTTTGAATTGTTTTTTTCCTAACTACACATTAATTAAAAATCTACTCCATAATTAGTAACCCAATGAATAGGGGGATAAAGATTACAAAAAAGTTTTTTTTTAATGTTTGACAGACCGCGGTAGACAATCAACTTTAAAATTAGAAACTCGAGGAATACGAAATAGGGAGAAATAAGATAAGTAAGAACATAGCAAGCTAGATTTTAAGAAGATTGAAAAAAATTGGCCATTTTTTCAGAAAACTGCACCATTGAGACGAACTCTGTACAATATATTTCTATTGAATTAATGTTTAGATTAAAGACTCAAGATTATAAAGACTCTCTCTTGATTCCTTTAGAAAACTTACTCAAAAACTAAAGAATTCTCAAATCTCTTAATCTCTCAAGAACTCATAAGTTATGCAACAACCTTGCATTTCCTTATATACTAAAACTCTTAACCAATTAATCCTAATCTTATTTGATACTGTACTTAGATAACTCCTAAATACCTAATTCTAGATAACTCCTAGAGATTCAAACTTAATCTCTTTTATAATTAAATAACTTATTCCTCAAGTTACTTCAAACTTATCTCAACAACCTCAGAGTCTATCAAGCTGGATATAATAGTTTTCATAGTCTATACTAAGGCTTTCATCTCTAAGCAAAAAGGTGAAAAAATCTTCCAATGACTCTTTATTCCTAAGAACACTATATGTATCTCACATTGCAAGCAAATCAAACCTAAACCAAAACTAGAGTCGGTAGACAGATTTTAAATAACTATAAAATATGTTTTTATATAATGAGCGTGTATACAAATATTTTAATTCTATCAATTTGACGTCTTAATTTTTTTTATTTTTGTAAAATACAATGAATTTTATAATTAAATATTTTTTACATACATATATAATGTAGCGTCGTTTTCAATAACTGATGTTAATGAAATATTTGCATCGAACTGGAATTGATGTCAATTTTGATGTTTAACGTCATATATAACATTTGACTTTTATGGTAAATTTAGCGTCATTTTACAGTTGTGATGCAAACTATTAATATCGAATTAGGTTTATGATTCTTTTGGCAAAGTGTGAACCATATTTTTTGGGTAACATAATATCATATGAAAACCTGAGCATCAGAATGTGTTTGGTACTATCAGTTATGTTAATCAAATCTTTGCACATCCCATAAGTATCGGGTCAACTTTCAAAAAGAAAAATATAAAGAAAATTCTACTTTGGTTTCACTTGATGATTGTTTTTGATCATTGATTTTATGCAAGTATCTATAATCATACGGTGACAAAAATTATATGTTCATTAAGAATGAAATTTGGCTTGATCAAAGACGACGAAGAAAACTAAAAGAACACCACAATATCATTACTTGATTCACTACAGGAGAAATGGATATTCATAACACCCGAAAAACGCTATCTTACGATATGATAGCGTTAATAAAAACGCTATGTCATCGCCCGCGATGATAGACCCGACACATTAGATAGCGGTTTTTCACATTGCTATCGTTTTGTCATTTAATATAGCGTTTTTTTATATGCAGTCGTATATTTTACAATAGCATTTCAAATTTGTTATTAAAGTTACTATTTATGGCAGATTTTAATTTTGAATTTAAATTATAAATTTTGAATTCCAAATATTCCAATTTTAATTTATAAAGATAGAAAATAATAAGCAATAATTGAAACAATTTACAAGAACAATCTTTTTATCTGAATTGATGTATCTAGAACTAATTTTTTTTCAAATGTTTATGCAGACTTTTTACAAACTTTCCACAAGCATTCATGACTTAACCCAAGTAGAGAACATAACGTTTCCATAGTTAAGCTCCAACGTTGAATCAACAATGAGCTCATGACTATGGCACGTGTGTACCTGCAAACAAATATTGAAAGTTAAAATACTACTCCTCACAAAATCTCTAAACATCAAAAAATTAACAAGTCATTTAATCATCATCAATAGTTACAAATCCTGGATATTAATCAAAATCTAAAAGTTTTTCAATATGTGCATTTTAGAGAGCTTGTTTGGGGTACCTTCGGTGACTTTGGCGATATGGAGGAAAGCGAGCTCATCCTTGAGTTCTTTAAGCCACCTACTGCCCCAATAACCTTATGAACACAACAGAAAAATTTAAAGAGTCTGAAGAGATGAGAGATTAAGGCAAATCTACACTAACAACATGGAACGTAACTTAGTGACATCAAAAGCTAGAATCAAGACTTACCAAAGGGAAAACGGCCTTATGAGCATGTTCTCCGGCGTAACCAGCCTTACATGTGCCAACCACAACAGCTGACGGTGCCTAAAACGGTGCGGACTGCGATTTGCATCTACATAGACAGATCTGATTTAGAATCAAACACGGATCTGGTCCAATCCGACGAATAGATCCCAGATCTAACTTTTTACCAAATAGATATGACATATCACTTACCCGAATGCCAAGGCAATACCCTATATAAACCTACTAAACACTTACATGCATTTCTCTCCACCAATCTCAAAGCAAGTTAAATACACTACTACTTCTTGAGCTTTTGTTAGAGCTTTTGCACTCCACAAACAAATGGCTCCAAAACCTCTCTTGCACTCTTCCGTTCTCTCAACCTCCTCTTCTTCACTTACACCTCTGCAACATGCTCTAAGTGCATCCCCACGACAACAACCCCGACCACCCCAAGCACTAGGACATGTCCTAGAGATGCCCTAAAGCTCGTATTTGCGCCAATGTGCTCAAACTAGTGGACCTAATTAACATTGGGAAACCGACCTGTAAAGCCATGTTGCTCGCTCATCCAAGGCTTGGCTGACCTTGAGGTTGCAGTCTCCATCTGCACTGCGCTCAAGGCTAACATTCTTGGAATCAACCTTAACCTTCCAATCAATCTCACCGTACTCCTCAATGTTTGTAGTAGGAAAGCTCCAAAGAATTTCCACTGCGCGTAAGTTGAATACCTATGAAACAAACGAATCATACCGATGCTTGAACATGTTTTCTTATCTACTTGTTGTTGTTCTAAGATGGGTTGTTTCCTTGGATAGTTAAAAATAAACGTACGTTTCTGATCGCAATAATGGAAAATGGGTTTGTGTGTATATAATCGGCAAGTTTGTACTCCTTTGCTTCATTGTTCCTTCGTCTCTTCTTTGTAATTGTGTGCTTCGAATTTGATTAATAAAAATATCAATTGATGTTGTTGCCTATATCTTCTATATATGTCTAACTTAAGAACAAAGTGAAATGATAATACTATCACTAAAAACCATGTCTTTATAGTATTTTTTTGTAAGCATTAAGAGTTTAAGACAAGTATACTAGATTAGATTAGATTAGCGTTTCCGGTGTACCGCCCATTTTTAGACAAGTAATTACAAAAGAATTACAAATGGAGTAGGTCTTGTTAGCAACGGGGATGGTATATTAGATTAGCGTTTCCGGTGTACTGCCCGTTTTCAGATCTCTTTTCCGGTAATATTCCGATTTGGGCTTTCCGTTTTGTACATGTATCTACCTTTTGGCCCAATGGCCCTGCCCCTTTTGGGATGAAAAAAAGAGTAAATGTATAAATGTAATTTCCCTTTATCTTTCGGACATAAAAAAGAATTATTGTTTTTGTCAAACCAAAATTTACTCCTACTGTAATAAAAAAAAAGTGTATTTATTTATTTTAAAAAAACATAGGGGGTGATTGGTAAGCACTTTTAAGGCTTTAGAAAAGTTTTAAAGTTTTTAAAGTTTTAATTTTGTCAATCAAACTTTTTTGGCTTTAAATAATTTTAAAGCCTTCAAAGTCTTTCTTTTTTTCTTTACTCTTTGAAATCAGTTTTTTTCTAAAGGCACGTAAACCTAGCTTTAAAAGTACAAAGAATAAAAAGTAATTGTTTTTCTTATTTTCTTTTTCCCATTATAAGAAAACCTCTAATAAAATTCATTGGAAAATTAATCTTATAAAAATATTAACTAATTTACAATTATTTTTTTTTTTTTTTCTTTTAAGATCCATTTATGTATATAAAAAAAACATCAGATATTACATTTGATACAAAAGTGGAGAAATATGAATGTATAAAAACTTTTCATAAAAGTGCATTGTATGAATTTCGTTGTTATATCACAATTTGGGTTTATATTCGTTGTAATTTATTTTATTTAAAATCATAATTTTTACAGCCACAGTTTCTACAGTTTTGTTGTTACCAATCACATTTTAACAGTTAAAGTCTCTAAAGTTAAAGTATCTACAGTCAAAGTTTCTACAGCCAAAGTCCTTACAGCGAAAGTCTCTACAGCCGAAAGTAACAGTCGTTACCAATCGCCCCCATAATCTACCAAATTCTTTTAATACAGTATATTTTTGTTTGACAAATTGGTGTTAAAGAAAAAGAAAAAAAAGACAAATAAAAAAACATTATCTGAAAAACCTAACCGACTTCTCTCCTCCAACCACTGTGTAAAAAGCACTCAAATCACAGCTTCTTCTAGATCTCAATCATCTTCCACAAAATGGCGACGATTCCAATGGATATCGTCAACGACATCTTTCTCCGATTACCAGCAAAAACTCTAGTTCGTTGTCGTACTCTCTCAAAGCCATGTTATCATCTAATCAACGATCCCGATTTCATCGAATCTCATCTTCATCGTGTTATTCAAACTGGTGACCATCTCATGATTCTTCTCAGAGGAGCTCTTCGTCTCTACACAGTAGATCTCGATTCACTTGATTCCGTCTCCGACGTCGAGCATCCGATGAAACGTGGTGGTCCAACTGAAGTTTTCGGATCCAGTAACGGTTTAATCGGGTTATCGAATTCTCCAACTGATTTAGCGGTTTTTAATCCGTCTACTCGACAGATTCATCGATTACCTCCTTCGTCTATCGATCTTCCCGATGGTTCGAGTACTCGTGGTTACGTGTTTTATGGATTTGGTTATGATTCTGTTAGTGATGATTATAAAGTTGTGAGGATGGTTCAGTTTAAGATAGATTCTGATGATGAGCTTGGTTGTAGTTTTCCTTATGAGGTTAAAGTGTTTAGTTTAAAGAAGAATTCATGGAAAAGAGTCGAGTCGGTTTCGACGTCGTCGATTCGGCTTTTGTTTTACTTTTATTATCATCTCTTGTATCGTCGTGGTTATGGTGTTCTTGCTGGTAATAGTCTTCATTGGGTTTTACCTCGAAGACCTGGTTTGATTGCGTTTAATCTCATTGTTAGGTTTGATCTTGCATTGGAAGAGTTTGGGATTGTGAGGTTTCCGGAAGCTGTGGCTAATGGTAATGTTGATATTCAGATGGATATTGCTGTTTTAGATGGTTGTCTTTGTTTGATGTGTAACTACGATCAAGATTATGTTGATGTTTGGATGATGAAAGAATACAATGTGAGAAGTTCTTGGACTAAGGTGTTTACGGTTCAGAAACCGAAAAGTGTGAAATCGTTTGCGTATATGAGACCTTTGGTTTACTCTAAGGACAAGGATAAGGTTCTTTTGGAGCTTAACAATACAAAGCTAGTGTGGTTTGATATAGAGAGTAAGAAGATGAGTACTCTTAGGATTAAGGATTGCCCTAGCTCGTTTAGTGCGGAACTCGTTGTGAGTAGCCTTGTTTTGGGTTGTAAAGGAGATCTTGAAAACATTAAGTATCGGAAAGAACAAGAAGCTAAAGAAGCTAGAGAAGCTAAAATGATGCAGAACACTAAAAGGAGGTGTGAAATCCAAGTCTTACTGTTAACTTTATTTTCATTCGTTTTTGTATCGATACTTTATCGTGTTTGTTTTTTTTATTCTCAGGGATGATTTCCTGTCCAAGGGATTCAAGCTGGTCTTATAAGCAAAAAAAACAAGAGACAAGAGCTAAAGCTAGAGAAGGTAAGTGTAAAAGTTGAACGTTGTTAATGGTGTTTAGTTTGCTGCTACATTCTTATTGTCTTTCATTGTTTTCTGTCTCTGCTCTGTTTTGTCGCGGACGAGCATTTTTCATATTCGAGTGGGCACAAGAGTAAAAGACACTGTATGTCATAGGTATTGATTGCTTAGAAGTTAGAACATTCCCTAGAAAATGTTATGGAGTCATTATTAGGACAATTACTTTAGCATATGACCATATTCAAGTGATTTTTTCATATCAATCTTTATGAGAATTGTCTATCTGCAAAACTATCATCGGGTTTTGATTTTTCAGGGCGGAAATACGGGGAGGGTGAGAAATAGCTTCAACCAAAAAAAAGCTTTGAATACCACAGAAGATAGTAATAATGACCCAAGTATATGTACTTAAAGAAGAGAGGATAGTAATAATAACCCAAGTATATGTACTTAAAGAAGAGAGGATACTTCAGATACACAAGTGTTGTTGGTTTGTAAATAAGTCTTTGAAGCTTGATATATAACTTTATACTACTAACGCTTTGTACTTGCTTTTAAGTTTCTGCATAAATTGAGATGTTAATTAGATTAAAAATTGTCATATTTTATCAAGAGAGCTGGTTCTATTATTATTACTTTCCCATCATCCACATGAGCTAACGCAAAGCTTTTTGTTTTTAATAATAATTTTTGCAAGTATTGGGGCGAAAATTGAATCTTTCAACGCCGATTTTATAAGTAGTCAATAAGGTTTGTAGAAGAATTTTAATTTATCTGAGTCCACATAAATTTTTATTGTTATCAAAGTAAAAAAAAAAAAAACTTTCTCTACACGCCAGTCACACCCTAAAAAATTTTCTGCCGTCTGTTTATTAGCCTCGTCGAAATGTTGTGTTTGGTGAGCAAATCCTATTATCGGGTCAAACTACACTATTTTGCTCAGAATTCTTTAAATGGGTATCTTCAAAAATCTAAGTTTTCCATTTGGATTAACTAATCGATCCTATGGGAGTATAATCGTCGAATTGCCTATATCCCAAGTTTTAAATGGGCCTAAGTCGTATTACCGTTTCGACCGACCAAGTAAAATTTAGTAAATTTTTGGTGTGTATAAAACCCAAAATAATAAGTTTATGTCTTGTTTCGATTCCTTTACCATCAAGCTGCCAACGCTTGGTTATATCTATTAAAGTTCTAAATTGTAACTTAAAAATCTAGGTGAATTGATGAATCTAGCTAAAATTTTTTGTCATTTTTCATTTTTGGCTAAATATAGCTAAATTATATTTTTATATGGCAACAACTGAATTTGTCGGAAATTTTTGTCATTTTTGGTAGAATCTAGCAAAATAATTATGATTTTAACTGAAAAATATCGTCAAAGAATTATGAATGATAATAGACTAACTAAAAAATTATAAAAATCAAAAAGAAATAAAATTATCTAATTGTCTACTTGACTAATATACTAATAAATAAATAATAAAAATATTTTTAAAACTACTAGTATTATTATGATGAGTTATTGGTTTTATATATCTGAATTTTTCATATATTGTATCTGTAATATTTGACATATTTTTGAATATAAGTTTGAGGTGTTACTTTTGACATCCAAAATATTTTAGTTCGAATTGTGTACGCATTATTGTCCAAATTTTTATTCGAAATGAACATATCTACGTGTCAGCTGAGTTTGAAAAACTGTGAATCTCGCTGAATTTGAAGTTCTTGCAAATAATGTATGCGGAATTCTTGAATCTACCAAAATTCGAGTGAATTTTTTTTAGTGTTACCATTTATGCCTAAATATTCCTTCCCCAAACTAACTCATTCATATACTACAAGAAATACATACACAACTTTTTCTAAATTGTAAGAAATCTATTTTTTTTAAAATTAGAAAATAAGAATCCTCATAAAAACACCAACTTTTCTATCTTTTTAAAATGTTTTTTTATTGAAATTATCACATTATTTAGAAAGAAAAATAAAATTGAATAGGTAATAAATTTTTAGAATCTCCCAAAAACAATTTAATGAGAAGGTTTGATTCGCTGATTCACACCAAGATTAAAAAATTAAAAAGTCCTCTCTTTTGTTTTCTTCTATCGGATTAAACGAGGAACGATTTTAACTTTTAACCATAAATGACATTTATTACTTAATTCAGAGGTATTTTTTTTAAGAATTTCATACAAATTCATTATCTAATTACAATTAGTTAAAATATAATAGAAAATAAGTGTGAAAGCGCTTGTTTAACAATGGCGTAGAGAGAAAAATAAACATGTCCCATCATTTATTTTCTTTAAGGAATACAAAAGAGAACGGTTCATATTATTGGTGCTACCATTAAGACCAAAAAAAAGAGAGTAAGCAAGTGATAAACTACAAACACACCACCTTTCCTAAATTATAAGAAATATATTTTCTTATAAAAATATAAGAAATCTTCACAAAAACACACATATTTTTCTATAAAAGTTATGACATATTTTAGAAAGAAAAATAAAATTGAATAGGTAATGAATTTCATAATCTCCCAAAAACAATTAATCAAAAGATTTGACTGGGCGATTAACCAAAAGTTTCTAAGAAAAAGTAAAAAAAAGTCTTTCTTTTGTTTCTTAATCGGATTAAACGAGGAAAGGATTTAACCAAAAATGACATTTAGCCATTGACTACTTAATTCAGAGATATGTTTAAAATAATTTTATGCAAACTCATAATCTAATCACAATTAATAAAATAAAAAATAAGTGTGAAAGGACGTTTAACGTAGAGAGAGAATAAGCTGTGTTAAACCCAGACGAAACCTCCGATCTTCTTCTCCTCTCCAATCTCTTCATCTTCCTCCTCCTCCTCCTCCTCCTCCTTCTCCTTCTCACCTCTGTACTCCGTTACGGTTATTTTTCCGGCGATATCGATTTGGATAAGGTTTTGGTGAAAAACCAGAACCGATAGAGATAGAGAGAGAGATTTCTCGTCGCTCGATGACTCTAAGCCGTTCATCAGCCGCCGATTCAACCAATAACTCTAACCGATCTTACTCTGCCGTGGCTGGAACCGATCATAAACGGAAACGAGACGATTACGACCCCTCGTCGTCTCCTGATTACGTCGGCGTTGTTGATCTTCTCCAGAAAATGAAGAAACAGGAAATTGACGCCGATCATATGGCTGCGTCGGCTCAACAGACTTTGATTTCGTGGAGATCCGGTGAGAATTCCGGATTTAATCGGTCTCTTTCTTCTTCCGGCGAGTGTTCTTCGTCGAATCGTCCTGAGTCGACTCGGTTACAAATCTTTGTGAGGATGATGTCTGGAGGTAAAACGATTGTGATCCACGCTGATAAAAACGATACTGTTGAGAAGCTTCATGAGAGAATCGAGTGGAAAACGAAGATTCCGGTGAGTGAGCAACGAGTTATCTACAAAGGTAAGCAGTTACAGTATGAACACTCGCTTGCTTACTACTCGATCGAGCAAGACGCTTCGCTTCAGCTCGTTGGTAGGATGCAGAGCACAGAGCATCCTGTAGCTTGGCAAACGATTGATGATATTATGTACACAATTTCGAGAATGTATAAAGGTGAGAATCTTCAATCTAACATAAATGAGAAGATTGTTACTTTCTTCGCGATGATTCCTGTGGAGAACGATGAATCGATTGCGAAATATTTGAAGATTTTCTCGAATTCTTCGGTTCCAGCTGCGTTAGTGATGCTATATGCTTCTTCTTTAGAGAGGAATAAGTCTTGTGCTAAGAGTTCTGTTAAGCTGTTTTTGAGTAGTTGCGTAGCCTTGCCGAAGAATCAGCAGAACTATTGTTTACCGATAGTGTTAGAGTTTTGTAAAATTCTTAGGAAAGTTTGCCCTGATCAGAAGCTATATGTTACTTGCCGGAACACCTTGGGCTCAATGCTGGAAACGTTTGATAACCCTCGTGTATTCAATGATGGATATTCGACTTTTGGGGTGGAGATTTTCCCCTTCTTTACCGAGTTAACTGGTCTTTTGGTGAATGAGTTAGTCCAGAATTCAGGTCCAAGTTTCTGTGACTTTCATAAATTTTCTTCATTTTGGCAACAGTTGAGGAAGGCCATTGAATTCAAAGATGCCGACTCGATTCCCAATCTTTTACCTCGGCGAAATACTCCATTGGAGGCGGAGATCAGACATCTTCATCAGTTATTTGGAAGCTTGTTGACGACAATGGACCTTTGCATGTGTAGGGTCGAGTCTGACAAAGAAGCTGGAAACAGTGAAACTAGATCTTCATCGTGGTCTCAATATCTATCCATTCTGAAGATTATCAATTCAATGTCTAACATCTATCAAGGTGCTAAGGGACAGCTAACTGTTATGTTAAATAAAAATAAGGCGTCATTCTGCTTCCTCCTTGTGAAATTTGCTAAAAGAGGAGATGACCACCAATGGGTCTTTGAGTATAAGGAAGCTACCAACTTTGAAGCTAGGAGGCATTTGGCAATGCTGTTGTTTCCTGACGTGAAAGAAGACTTTGAGGAGATGCACGAAATGCTCATTGATCGGTCCAATTTGCTATCAGAATCGTTTGAGTACATAGTGGGCGCAAGCCCTGAAGCACTTCATGGTGGACTTTTCATGGAATTCAAGAATGAGGAAGCTACAGGTCCTGGTGTTCTACGAGAATGGTTCTATCTGGTATGTCAGGAGATATTCAATCCAAAAAATACCCTCTTTCTTCGATCTGCTGATGATTTTAGAAGATTCTCTCCAAACCCAGGTAAGCTTTGTGCTAGGTTATGTCGTTTTTCTCATGACATCACTAGCCTAGATACAAGTGAATTTGGACCTTGCTTAGACATTTATATAGTTTCTTACTGTCTGGTATCCGATTCGCTGATAATAATTTCTTCTTAGAATCCTGAGAACATATTTAGTCTGTTGTTCCTACCGCGCTCGTAATTTGTTTGGTGGTTATGTGAAGTAAACATGCACCAGTATACACTTTAAATATAAACGATTATTGTGCTGCCATCTTAGGATCTATATGCTGAAGGGTTTACTAATGAACTTATCGGAATCTTATATTCTTACATAAACGCTTGATCATGGTACTTCTTTACTGCTTAATATCTGAAGGGAAGCATTAGTGAGTTGAAATTATTTGGAAGCTATGTAGCCTTGGAAACAAGCTTTGTGATGTCACTCTTTGCTCTAAATAGATATTTCCTGTGATGCTCATATCTTGATCCAGTAATATTAGATTTTTGTCTTACATTCAGCATCCAAGGTGGATCCATTGCATCCTGACTTCTTCGAGTTCACCGGTCGTGTGATTGCCTTAGCTTTGATGCACAAAGTTCAAGTGGGTGTGCTGTTTGATCGTGTTTTCTTCTTACAATTGGCCGGACTGAAAATTTCTTTGGAAGATATTAAGGACACCGATCGAATTATGTACAATAGCTGCAAACAGATTCTGGAAATGGATCCCGTGTTTTTCGATTCAAACGCCGGCCTTGGTCTAACATTCGTGTTGGAAACCGAGGAGCTAGGAAAGAGGGATACAATAGAGCTATGTCCAGGCGGGAAATTCAAGGCTGTCAACAGCGAGAACAGGAAACAATATGTCGATCTCCTCATTGAACGCCGATTTGCCACACCAATATTTGAGCAAGTAAAACAATTTTCCCGAGGTTTCACTGATATGCTTTCGGATTCTGTACAGCCCAGATCCTTTTTCAAGAGATTATACCTAGAGGATCTCGACGGAATGCTTCGAGGAGGAGAAAACCCGATAAGCATAGATGATTGGAAAGCGCACACAGAATACAACGGATTCAAAGAGACCGATCGCCAAATAGACTGGTTCTGGAAGGTAATAAGTAAAAAGCACAAAATTCTTTGTTTGAATTTAAACTTTTGAACCGAGATTTTAAATGCCTTGTCGTATTTTGTAGATTCTGAAGAAAATGACAGAGGAAGAACAGAGGAGTATACTGTTCTTTTGGACATCGAATAAGTTTGTACCGGTGGAAGGGTTTAGAGGATTATCATCAAAGCTTTATATCTACAGATTATATGAAGCTAATGATCGTCTTCCATTGTCTCATACTTGCTTTTACCGTCTCTGTATACCGAGATACCCGACGATGACTCTCATGGAACAACGTCTCCGACTCATCGCTCAAGATCATGTCAGCTCCAGTTTCGGTAAATGGTGAAATAATTATCAAAGTAATCTATATCTCTCTCTCTCTCTCTCTCTCTATCTATCTATATCAATCTGATCTTTAGGGTTCGTAGATTGGTGCTTTTGGTGTATAGATTTAGCGTTATGGTCAAGCCTCTGTTTATGACCGAAAGAGAAAGGTGAAACCTTTCTTAACTTCTGTTTTTAACTTATGGATAAATTATTAAACTATAAACTTATGCCGAGGAGGATTAGATAAGTAAAAAAAAAAAAGGTATCGTTTTGACATTTCGTTATTCATTTTTGTGTGTTGGATTGATCGAATCATGTAAATAAGACTAACCATTAGGTTAATTAACTTCGATTTGCAATTTGCAAATTGCCAAATCGATGTCTGCGTTTGTAGTTTGGTTCTTTGTGTTTGTGTTAGAGGACATTTTTTTGTGTTAAATGAAATCAGATTACAAGAACGATATAAAGCTCTCTTATCATTGACCAATCTCTCTTAAGACCACCTCAATGGTCTCACATAGACCACCTCAATGATTATATTGAAAAAATCATTACTCATCACCTTATTTAGGATTTAAGAAGAAACAAAATGTTCTCATAGGTAAAAACAAGCTTAATTACACTGCCTTGCCATCAACAGGCTTCTCCTTTTCAGCTGGAGTTTATGCCGCCGGTTTAGCATCTTTCTCCTCCACAACTGCCGATATTTCAACTGCTTTCTCCTCTTTAACCGGAGCTAACTCGATTTTGTCAGTTTCTTTCTCTACCTTTGCTACTTCTTCTCCTTTGATTTCAACTTCAACCGCGGTGGCTGAATCATCTGCATAAACGGTTTCCTTAGGTGTCTCGTTTGATGTCGTCTCTTCTGTGTTTGATACTATCTTCTCAACCTGCGGTAAGAAATCGATCGAGCTTTACGTCATGAATCAGCCTTTATAGAGGATTTATAGATCAAAGCTAATGGTGATGGACTACTAACAAAATCTACAAAAAGTTTACTGAGCTTTCGAAAAAAAACTGAAGATTATCACATGAAGATAGTATTACACTAGTACACATGTTTTGTTGTCTGAAAATACCGTAAGTTTAATTAGTTGTACATATGTCACATATGTCGGATTTAAGACAATGAAATAAGGATTTAGCAGTTACCGAGTGTCAACAATAATAACTACTTGAACTTTAACAATTGGATCAAAAGAAAGAAATAAATACCTCAACACCAGCCATTTGGAGACTCTGAAGAAGAATAAGAAGGACAAAGGAAAAGATGGATGAGTTTAGAAAAGGAGGAATACTTGTGAGTGAGTTTAGCGAAGAAGAGAAGGATGGTATTTATAGACTTGTTCTTCAAAAAGTAAGAACATAACAATAAAATAAAATTGTTGAAGCATATTGAGGATGCTCGATGTGTCATATTTACAGGTAAGAAGATCACTAATTAAAATTTGTAGAGTAAACTACCTTATGATGAAGTGTAAAAGCTTAAAAATGTTTTTGTCAATGGACCAAATTTTTTTTTTTTTTATGTTTTGTAGTATTTTATAACTTTTTACCTATTTCAAATGATGAATATGTGAAAATGTTATATTTGGAATTTCTAAACACCTCCTGTGAACACTCTTCTTTTTAGTGAAATAACACAAAAATAAAAAAATGTTAGTGAGTTGGTTCACTTGGACATATGTATAGATGACAATCATCTGTCATTATAATGCTTTCATTTTCTTTTTCATATGTAGAAGTTTAATTCCCTCACGTCACCTCTTTATTAATTCCTTGTAGTATTTTGGACCATTACTTTCAAGTTCCCATGTTTTGATATTCAAACAAATCTTTATACTACAAACGAATCATTCGATTCTTTTCTTCCTTCCGCTAGTTTAATTTTGATACTTTTGTTTCAAGAGAACTAAGAGTGAGTTTTAGTATCGAAAACATGGTTACATGTGACCAGAGCTTGTAAATAGTTTAATTGTACTAATGCTCTTATTGTGTTATGATCAAAATTTAAACCCAATTGAGTGCATGAGTGAATCATAAACAAAAAAGCTAATAAAAATATCAAATTCTGATTTGCAATACAAATGGGACTACATCGAATAATAAAAGTATAAAATCTGTCTGATACAGAATAACATTTAAGGTTAGATTGTCATTTGTTTATGTATAAGACGCAAGCAAGCAAAGCCTTTGTAAATTAAGTGAAGAAAACAGAGTTTTGTTTGCTACATGACCAAACTCTCTAATAAGGCAGGAGTCGCATAATACAGAGGTAATACTTTTGTTGCAAAACCAAAACCACCATTGTTTCTTTAAAACGAGTATTCCATTCTTTGTTGATGATCCTTGTAAGACTTTCAAGTAGCTAGGTTTTCAAACATCTTTCGACTATTTTGGGATGCATGTACTACACTAACGCCAATGCCAAAGTCCTCTACAATATCCGCCAAGTACCAAAAAAGGCTGATCTTCTACATTATCCGCCCGAAGCAAGCTTAACTAAAATTCTTCCAGCTTCAACACTCAAGATTCACTACGTACGTTCGGTTCGATTCATCAAACAGTAGCAGAAAGAGCAAACACCGTTTCACAAGACAGAGGGACTGTAAGCACCTCATCAACCCACTCGACCTTCCCCCAAATCTCTTTACTGTTGCGCCTTTCAAGTGAAATTACTGCACACCAAATCATCTTATTATTTTTGCAACCGGAACTATACTTGTTCCACAAAATCGCCATCTTTCCACCATATTCCACTAATCTAACAACAAAACCGTACTTGGGAAACTGAGGCAGACCATCCAAACCCTTGATATGCATCCATTTTCTTATCTTAAAGTCATACCATATGATTCCATTACACCAATTATAACAATATAGCACGTTACCTATCACGCAAAAAGGTACCTCAAAACCTTGTAAATCCTCCCGTGATCTTATCTCTGCCCATTTACCTTCTCGTGGCTTGTAAACCACACCTATATCATCCCCAAACATGTAGATTCCTCCTTCAATCACTGCGCTCTTGTTTATACAATGTGTTAATCTCTTTCCAAGGGTGGCCAACTCAGGCTCCCAAGTTTGAGTTTTTGGATCGAAAACTTCCATCCAATTTGATGATTTAGGTTTTACGCAGCTCCCTGCTACATATATCTTTCCATCAACAACATTGACATGTGGATAATACCGCTTCACCCGCATGCTTGGAGCCTCATGCCAAGTGTGAGTCTGGCAGTCTAGGATTGAAACGCTAGATGGACGATCCAATCCGCCAAAGTTGTAAATATTAGAACCAACCGCTACGAGACTCAAAGAGTTCGCAACATGAGGATTATGTGAAGTTGGGATTGGGACCAAAAGGTTGCAACTTGACTTGTTCTTATTGGCTACGGTTCGATTATTAGGTTTTAGGGAGAGAGTGAACCAACGTTGGTTACGTTCAGGAGGGAAACGTAAGCAGACATAGAGACAATTCTCTGTACGACCTAAGAGTGACCTAGTCTTGTAAAGCTCCGGTGAAGCAATGAGTGATCGAAAGCTCTTGCAAACTAAGGAGAGCGTCGCGTAGTGCAATCTCCAGACGCGGGCTAAGCAGCTCACTAACAAATCATCAGGAAGTGAAGGAATCTGTGACGGATTCTTCTTCTGCTTCTTAACCAGTGGCTCTTCGCCGTTCGTGGTGGCCGGAGATGTTAGTGGAGACGACATTAGCAGTTAGATTCGCCGAAGATATGAGGGTTTAGGGTTTTACTAAGACGCATGCAAAAATCAATGAAACAAATTTCTGTGAAAAAAGCAAACCGTCACACTAATCCCTGAGCCTCAGGCCATACTTATAAACTTATGCAATTAAAAAGAACTTCAAAATTGGATAATTCCCACCCATTACGTATTTAACAACCCAAATAGCCGAACCGATCTGAAAATCTCGGTTCGGTCCCGTTTGGTTCTCTCAGTTCTGTTAAATATCTCAGGCCTCTAGACCATTGATCATACTAGAATACCAAAATATATCCAAACCTTACCAAACTAAACCGAAGCCATTACATTCCCGTAATGCACAGTAAACCAAATAGTCGTACCAAACTAAACCGGAAATAAATCGTCTTGCCATATGGAGAAATTTTTCATAGAGAGGTGTTACAACAAATGAGAAACGAAGCAAAAAGAAACAGAGCAGAATCTACCAGTTGAAACACAAGAAATCACTGTTAAGACTCGGTTTCAAGTTTCAAGTAAAAGTTTCTACAGAGTTTGAATGTTTTCAACATCGAGTGAAGTAAACCAGATGTGTTTATCTCTACTTCACGAGTTTTCTTAATACAGATTCTGCGCGCTGCTCAAATCGCGGTAGAGCCCATTCATGCTGAATTATGTCTAGACCATCCTTCTCTGCACCCAGGCTCTGATCAAATTTGCAATGCAATGATATCGAATCAGCTATGGCCACGGATGGAAAATAAAAAAATAAAAACATATATATTTTGATTACCTTTGATGCATCAAATCCAAACCCACCCATTTGCATCATACGTTGTGTGTCATCAATCGCTGCATACGAAGCAAAAGTAAACCATTATGACCACATTTTAGCTTTTGAGGAATGTGGAGCCAATCAGAATGCGAAAATTAACCATTTTCATCTCCGAGAATGAGACTGAACAAGCCTCTTAATCCAAACAAGTTCAAGAAGTACCTGAAGAGTGAAAGAAAAGCTCATGAAACAAGAGAATGGGCAATACCCAGAAGCAAATATGATTAGCATATCGAAAATCTGAAGAGGACCAGATAACACAAAGTCCTTTGTGTAACTTGAGTACTTACCAAGAACGACTACTCACGTAGCTAACATCGACAGTGCTCAAGTCAATGCCATTCTGTAACATTGATCTGAACCTCTGAGTCAGTGGAAATGGTATTTTGGCTGCAAGATAAAGAACAAAGACTTAGATGCTATGGAACTATAAAAATTAGAGAATCAAGAAAACAATGAACTGGTTCTCAAATAATAGCAGTGAAAACTGAAAAAGCCAGGTATAAATCAAATTCATGATTGCTATTTATGAAGTAACCAACAAAAATAATGGCAGAAAATTGTTGTAGGAAATAAACCTGCAACAAATCCAGAGAAGAAGAAGTTGACCCATGCAAAAGTGAGTGTCTGCAAAAGAGTAAGTTATATCAGTTTCCGACAAAACCAATATCACAAAGACATAGATGAATATTTTCAAATTCAATCTACCTGAGGAATAATCATAGAAAGATTTTTCTTCATCATATCCATGGCCATGTTAGGATCAGAAAACATGGCAGCTTGTGGATTTGTAGCTTCTCCCTTGGGAACATGTAGCAAACCATTCTCCTACAGCAAGCAAAACACATATCTTTCAATTAAAAAGACAATCAATACACTCATCAGACACTATAGAACAAAGAGACAGTCAAAGAAAGACGATCACAATGCTAATGTCTACACAAATTATCACAATTTTACATGGTTGAAAATTGCTTCAGATTAACACGATCCCATAACACTATACACACATTGGAATGTTTCAATGCTTTTCAAAAACTTCAATTAACAAAGCAAATCACTAAATGTCAAATCAAAATCAGAAACCATAACAACAAGACCAAATGTCAAATCTTAAAAAAACCATTCATTACCTCATTGCTAAAGTAGAATCTCCGAGTACGGAATGATCTCGGCGGGATAAAATTAGCACCGACTTTAAGATTCCGAGCTCTAATAACAACTTGCCTAGAAAACAAACCAAATCGAATCAGCTAACAAAAACTCTTAAATTCTACGCATAGAGAGATCACAGTTCCAGAAAAGAAGACTCACCCTTCTTTCACCGTCTTAGCATCAGGAGTTGGAGAAGAACGCATAAGCTTAGAGACAAAGTATCTCAAAATACCAATTAGAACCATCACAACGGAGAGTGGAATCAGAACCCAATCTCTGATCGCCGTATCCAGAACTAGATCCTCCGCCATTCTAAGCCCTAATTATCTCTCTCTCGTCTTCTTCTTCTTCGATCTTCTCTGGTGAAGCAAAACACGATCTGAGAGACTCTCTGAGAATCTGATAAATTAGTGGAAATATCTTTATTTATTTTTATTTAAAAAAAATCTGAAACCTTCTGAGTCAACCAGAGGCTTTGATGTGTTCCCTTTATAAAACCCTAATTCGTTGTCTCTATTAAACCCAAACTAAAACCCTAGCGTCTTCTTATTCTTTGCTATCGGCTTCCTCTGAGAGAACTAAACAACTCGAAGAAGATGACGGTAGAAGGAGTGAACCCTAAGGCGTATCCGTTAGCTGATTCTCAGTTAGCGATAACGATTCTTGATCTTGTTCAACAAGCTACGAATTACAAACAGTTAAAGAAAGGAGCTAATGAAGCTACCAAGACCTTGAACCGTGGGATCTCTGAGTTCGTTGTTATGGCTGCTGATGCTGAGCCTCTTGAGATTCTTCTTCATCTTCCTCTTCTTGCTGAAGATAAGGTATTCAATTTCTCCTAATCCTTTATTTTTCTTATGAATCTTGATTAGTAGTTTCTTTGGCTCTGGAGATGTTTCAACAAGGTCAATATCTCTTGCAAGTTTGTTACTGGTTTCACTTGTTATCTCATGGGAAAGATTCTGATTATGTTAGACTTTTATATCTCAAAGGATAGATCTTTTTGGCTATTAGACTTTAATTTTTTTGAGATTGTAAGTCTAATGTTCTGTCTTAACTTGGCTTTTATAACCATCTAATGTTTTGAGATTGTAATTCTAATGTTCTGTCTTAAAGATGTTCTAATGTAGCAATCACTTAGTTGATTGATGATTGTGTAGATCTTAGTTTTTGAATGAAGGAGACTAATTCAATTCAAGATTTTTAGGTATTAAGAAGCTCATTTGTTCTGTCTTAACTTAGCATGTGTAATGAGTTAATTCACTGATTCTTGGTCTTAGGATATGCAATATCAGGACTTTAGTATCTGGGTATCGGACTCTGTTGATTGATGAATGTTTAGTTGAAAAAGGACTCATTTGTTCTGTATTAACATAGCTTATGTAATGAGTTTAGTCACTGATTCTTGGTCTTAGGATATGCAATATCAGTGCTTTAGTTTCTGGGTATCAAACTCTGTTGATTTATGAATGTTTAGTTGATATTTCCCTTTTCAAGGTGCTTTTGTCTAGTTGAATTGGGCAAATTATTTGTTTTCAGCAAACAATTGTGAGTCTGTTACTTAGTATTTGTTCTCTCTCTTTGCCTTTGAATTGTTGCAGAATGTGCCATATGTGTTTGTGCCATCGAAACAAGCCCTTGGAAGAGCATGTGGTGTAACCAGACCTGTGATCGCTTGTTCGGTTACATCAAACGAGGCGAGTCAGTTGAAATCTCAGATTCAGCACCTTAAGGATGCCATTGAGAAGCTCCTGATCTAGATTTTTGGTGGGAATGAATGAATGAATGATGGGTCTCTCCATTTATGAAGAGGCTTTGACTGAAGTTAGTTTGTGCAACTTTATGAAAAACAAAAAAAACTTGTGAACGAATCCTATCCATTTTGAAGATTGTAATGCTTTTTATTTGAGATATTTGTGTTGGTGCAAATGCATTTTTGAACGACAACAATCATTTTAAATTGAGTTTCTTAAATTTGGTTATTGGTTTGGTGACTTTGATCTTATGTTACATAATGGGAAATTTGACCTGTTAGATTGGTGATCTATCATCAAAAGGATACAAATATCCTCATTCTGGTACTAAGAATATGAAATTATAACAGACTTTAAAATCGGATCTATCCCTACAGATTTACCTGTATAAACCATCTGATTATATAGTTAGGGGTGTTATATTAAAAATATAATGATTTTACAATTAATATGATTGTTTCAAAATTTAATGGGTCCATATTTTTTATGATGTAATTTTGGATATGGTTTATATGAGTCTGAAACTACTTTATATGATGTAATTTTGGATATGGTTTAATGCTCTTGTTATAAAGTTGAGACCCAAAAATAAAGAAATAAATCTAATTATGTAATCTTACGAACATTATGTAATAGGGCAAATCAGACTTTTAACATGTAAGCAATAGATAACCTCCTTTTCATAAGAGAGACCACAAATCTCACGACCTAAGAACAACAAAACGTTAACATTCATTCGTAAACAAAAATTCTGAATTGCAATCTCAAATCCGAAAGGTAAGAAAAAAACCCTAGATTTCAACACACAATCGCTGATTATAGCTTCGATTGCTTCTGTGTGATCTTCGTAATTGGATTTTGAAAATCGTGAAACCCTAAATTCTCTCTTGATTTACGGTTTCAGAAAGAAGACGATTCCTTGGATCGGAAAATTATGTCGAACTGTTTGCAATTGAAACCGGCTTGTATGGGATGTGGATCACAATCCGATTTATATGGAAGCTCTTGTAGACACATGACGTTGTGTTTGAAGTGTGGTAGAACCATGGCTGAGAATAAAGCTAAGTGTCTCGATTGTGGAACCGTCCTTACGCGTTTGATTCGGGTTCGTATTTGCGTATTTCTTCACTCCAATATCAAACAATTTTGTAGTTTCTGAAGAAAAATTTGATAAATTGTTGTTTTGATGGTGAAATTTATTAGGAGTATAACGTTCGTGCTGCGGCACCGACGGATAAGAACTACTTCATTGGTAGATTTGTGACTGGTCTTCCTAATTTCAAGAAAGGTTCTGAGAATAAATGGTCTCTTCGTAAAGATATACCTCAAGGTCGTCAGTTTACCGATGCGCAACGGGTAATTTTGTTATTGTGTTCTTTATACTAGTCATTTTTGGTGGTGTTTTGCAATACTTATTAGTTTTGTGTGGATTCTAACTATTTTGTAGGAGAAGTTAAAGAACAAACCTTGGATCTTGGAAGATGAAACTGGACAGTTTCAGTACCAAGGACATCTTGAAGGCTCTCAGTCTGCTACTTACTATCTCTTAGTTATGCAGAACAAAGAGTTTGTCGCGATTCCTGCTGGTTCTTGGTATGGAGAATCAAATTGCCGTTGCTTCTTCTGTTTATATGTTTAAATTATGCCGTAAAATTCAGACAAGATGTTTCTTTTCGTCTCGTGATTTAAAGAAATGGATCAGTTTTGTGAGCCATTTGAGAACTTTGTTATTATCTAACTTCTGATTATTTTTTTGTGTGTTTGTTAGGTATAACTTCAACAAGGTTGCACAGTATAAGCAACTTACATTGGAAGAAGCGGAAGAGAAGATGAAGAATCGGAGAAAAACTGCTGATGGGTATCAGAGGTGGATGATGAAAGCTGCAAATAATGGTCCAGCGTTGTTTGGAGAAGTGGATAATGACAAAGAAAGTGGTGGAAGCAGCGGAGGTGGTGGTAGGGGTCGTAAAAAGTCATCAGGTGGTGATGAAGATGAAGGAAATGTCTCTGACAGAGGGGAGGAAGATGAAGAGGAAGAGGCATCACGGAAAAGTAGACTTGGACTTAATAAAAAGAGTAATGATGACGATGAAGAAGGTCCAAGGGGTGGTGATCTTGACATGGATGATGATGACATTGAGAAGGGTGAGTAGTAATTTATATATGGATGGACAGGATTGTTCTTCGTTGTTATCTATTTAACACAACTGCTGAAATGTCTGTATATTTTGATTTATTCAGGGGATGACTGGGAGCATGAGGAAATTTTCACCGATGATGACGAAGCAGTCGGTAATGATCCTGAGGAACGTGAAGATCTTCTGGCTCCTGAAATTCCTGCTCCTCCAGAAATAAAGCAGGTCTGTATCTATTATATTACTTCACTTGCTCTGTACAATTCTCTGTGAAACTGAAAATAGTAATTATTTTGGTAATCCTGGATTTTATGTGTACTAAATACTGGGTTATTGAGTCTTTACTTACTATGAGGTCGTAACTTTCGTTTTACTTCTCTTGCAGGATGAAGATGATGAAGAAAATGAAGAAGAGGAGGGAGGTTTGAGCAAATCTGGTAAAGAGTTAAAGAAACTGCTTGGTAAGGCTAATGGTTTGAATGAATCTGACGAAGATGATGATGACGATTCTGATGATGTAAGCCCTCTTCAATTTTCGACATATTTTACTTCTAAAAATAAAAATTTCAATTTTCAATCATACTCATTTGAATTGGTTTGGACACACGCAAATCATCCTGAATGTCGTTTCTTAGGAGGAGGAGACAAACTTTGGTCCTGTTACGAATTCTAAACAGAAGGAGGTGGCGAAAGAAGAACCTGTTGAAAATGCACCTGCAAAACCTACACCATCTGGACCTTCTCGTGGAACACCTCCTGCAAAACCATCTAAGGGAAAGAGAAAACTAAACGACGGCGATTCTAAAAAGCCTAGCAGCTCTGTTCAAAAGAAAGTGAAGACTGAAAATGTAAGATACTTGGTTGCTATGTCTGAAAAAGAGTTGATCCCTTGTGTTGTCATATTTCTAACGAACAGTTTTTTGTAATCTTTATACGCAGGATCCGAAATCTTCGGTGAAAGAAGAGAGAGCAAACACAATTTCCAAATCCAACACACCAACAAAAGCTGTGAAAGCTGAACCAGCTTCAGCTCCTGCATCATCATCCTCAGCTGCGACTGGGCCTGTGACTGAAGACGAAATCCGCGCTGTTCTGATGGAGAAGAAACAAGTCACTACACAGGACCTTGTTTCCAGGTTTAAGGCAAGACTTAAGACCAAAGAGGTAATATTTATTCCCATTCCTTCTTGAAGTGACCATATGGGTTTTATCTGAGCTTATTCTGGACAAATCAATCGATTGTTATAACGGTGTCCTTTTACAGGACAAGAATGCCTTCGCCAATATTCTGAGGAAGATCTCAAAGATACAGAAGAACGCTGGTTCTCAAAACTTCGTCGTTTTGAGAGAAAAGTGAGGACTTTCACAGCTAACTCTTTAAAAAAAAATTAAGATCTTATGAGCTAGTAAAAATAAGAATGATTTCTCATTTCTTGATTACAAATGTTTAAATTTGGACTGATTTGGCTCCCATGACACTATTAGTAAATGATGGGTGGATCTAAAATCATCACTTTCTATTCAATTAACATAGTTATTGTCTTAAGTTTCTTACAGAAATTAATTTAGTCACGTTAGTGTACAATGTGGAAGTAGTTTACTAATGTAAAACCAAATCCACAGAACTCAGAAAATAAACCAAAATGCTTATGCCAGGGAAACAGCAAATAAGGGAGGGGGATGAGTAATTCAGATAATGAAAACCACTATCCAAACTCTTCTCAATGGGACGAGAATTTTGGGTAACATGATGGGGTAAAGAGATTTGGATAGCCAAATTCAATTCTCAAACTCTTATTAAACTAAAGTAAAAACTAAAAATTGGAATAGATATTTTGGGAATTTCCAATACTTTAATATATTACAAAATATTGGATAATTTCTATAAATTTGTAAAAACTATATACTTTTACGAAAAATATGGATATTCCGTCTGACTTTTTAATCCAATACAATTTCAATCATTTTTACCTATTAGACTAACTAAAATAAACATTCTTTTTTTTGGGCAAACTACTAAAATAAACATTCTTAAACAGATACTCCCTCCGTTTTCGAATAGTTGTCGTTTTAGAGCATTTTTTTGTTTTAAATTAGTTGTCGTTTTAAGGTAATAATGTAACTTATGCCAATAACTACCCAAATTACCCTCATTTAATTAAACACAATTTATTTGTAAATAATTACTTGTCATTTTTATGAGGTTAATATAGTCATTGTATACTTTTTCTTAATTTGTATAAATACAGTTAAAACGACAACTTTTCAAAAACAGAGGGAGTAATAATGATTTAAAAGAGAACGGTTGTGGGAAGAAAAATTCCTAACGGAACGGACATCGGTTAATAGACCTTATAAAAAGGAAACCGAACCTTCGATGAAAAGGAAAATACGAAAGTTGTAAAAACAAAATTGAAAATGCGGAGAAATAAAAGGAAACACGTAGTCAAAGCCCAATTGTGAAAGATGAAAAATAAAGAAATATAATAACCATAAAAGCCCAATAGTACGAATTCTATTTTTCTTATTCTTTTTTCCTTCTTTTTTTTTTCTTTTTTTTTAAGGTGTAAATCTTATTCTAACCGTCAACCACATAAGATGGAATTTGTGACTGAAGACGAACTCCGCAGTGTTTTAATGGAGACGAAGCAATTAACTACACTGGAACTTGTTATGAGGTTTAAGGAAAGACTAACAACCAGAGAGGACAGGGATACCTTTGCCCATACTCTCAAGAAGATCGCAAAGGTACAGAAAAACGCTGGTTCTCAAAAGTATTTTCTTGTTTTGAGAGAATGAGACTCTGCTTTCTTCAGAACTTGATCGTTTATCTATTTCATGATCTCATGTGAAATACCAATAATAAGAATCTTTTCTCGTTTCTTGTTTTCAAAACTGTTTAAACCG